CCAACATCAAGTGCAAAATAACAATACATAACATTAGGAAAAATGTTTACAAAAGAAATGGGTGTGGTTGTGCATGCCTTGAATCCCAACACTCAAGGAGAGGCAGGTGGTGGCTGCCAGTTCAAGGCTGAGCAGGGCTACTTACAGAGACTTTGTCTTAGAAAAGAGGGAGAGAAGGTGGGAAGGAGGGAGGGAGGGACACCCCCTCCCAGGAAATGGAGACCACAAAAGTGTAACAATGTTTCCCTTCCTGAATCCCTGGGAGTGTGAGCTCTCTGGAAAGGTCCTTTCCCTTTGATGTGTGCTTCTCTATGAACAAGCACTGACATATACAGAGGCAAACATCAGGAGGGAACTAACCCTCTGACTAGAGTGTGTACTTCACAGCTTATTCTGTCCTTAGTCAATCAGAAAACTACTTCTGATAACTGTTTTTCAGCTATTCTTTTTCTCAACAGGTTCAAAGTTTGGTGGGCCAAGCATCAGGAAGAGGTGAGGCTCAAAGATCCAAGGATTTCCTGGTCCCTAGAGTGTCTGCTTCACAGAGCCACCACTCACCTATCTGATCATTTATTCTCTCCTCTAACAAATATTTATTTTTTTTATTTATTTAACTTTATTATGTTTGTTGGTGTGAAGGTGTCAGATCTCATGGAACTGCATTTTCAGACAGTTGTGAGCTGCCATGTGGGTGCTGGGAATCGAACCCGGGTCCTCCGGAAGAGCAGTCAGTGCTCTCAACCGCTGAGCCATCTCTCCAGCCCCTCTAACAAATATTTATAAGCACTCACCATGTTCCAGGTACTGTGCTGGGAAGCAACTGAAAAATAAGACAAACCGTATCCAGGGGCCTCGTTCAAAGAACACAGACATTAAAATAAAATCACTGAAATCACCGGGTGGTGGCATACACCTCTTACCCTAGCACTTCAGAGGCAGAGGCAGGGGGATCTCTGAGTTTGAGGCAGCCTGGTCTACAGAGTGAGCTCCAGGACAGCCAGGGCTACACAGAGAAACCGTCTCAAAACCCCGGGGTTGGGGGGGTAGTAAAACCACACAAATCAATGTAACACCACACAGTTCAAGATGACACAGCAGGAGGGAAGAGAAGTCTTCAGAGCCACAGCTGGGCACCCCAAAGAAGTGGCAACTGTAGAAAGGTAGGGGTGAAATTCAACATGAAGAGGAAGAGGACAAGGCTGACAGTGCAGGAAGGCGTTAGACCTTGCAGCACCCTCGGGTTCATGATAAAGATGCTGTCACCTTTCTCAGCATCATAGGAAGCCGACCGATGGAGCACCAGGCCTGGTAGAGAACTCAGCCCTCCAACTGCAGCCTTTCAGATAGGCTTGTCCCCATCACACAATTGGCTGGGGCTTAAGAGCTTTCAAACTCTTGAAAGGCTTCTGGAAGAGCTTGAAAGGTCTTTGGACCAGAAGAGCAGCTAGAACTATCCATGTTAACAAGGGGGGAATGAGGCAGCATACCTGAGGCAGTAAGTAGCTAAGTCAAGATTTGACATTAAGGATGCCTCTCTGAACCCCATCCTGTTTCACCATTGGAAGGGCACCTATACAACCCACCACACCCAAAGACTCACATTGAAAATCCTCCTTCACACTGTTTACCCAATCAGGGTCTTTGCAGACAGCTGGTTCACCTGCGCCTGCTGGTGGCTTTCTGGTCCCTCATCTTAATCCCATGTTTGCAGGTGTTGATGACATTTATCGTCAGCATTCAATTACGGCTTTCTCTGCAGAGAAAATATCCTGTCTCCCCACTCTCCTTTTGAAGGACACAACGGCATGGGCTAAGGAGAAAGGCTGCTGCTTGACATGTAATAGCATGAACAGAGTGTCATTCCCAGGAGACTCCAGCTACCCCTGAATGGACTGTCCACCACAATGCCATGATCTTTACCCACCTGTTTTGAGGACCAAATGAGAGTTAAAAACAGAACTAATTAAATCTTTAACAAGGAATTTTCTCACAAGCTTGTAAATTGTTCTAATTTAAAACACTTCTTGGCCACTACTTGCCTGACATTGCTGAGGCCCTGGGTTCAATCCCCAGTAGGACACCTTTCCCCTTAAAAAAAAAAAAACTATGAAATTTTACATGGAAAGATTAAAAATCCATGTTTGATGTCTAAAGTCATTTTGAAAGGCTGATCTAAAACTCCCTATGTAGTTGAGAAGCCCCCTGCCACCATCTCTAGAGTGGTCTCAGGCTTTAAACCAGATGTCTGTGCTGTCATGGAAGGAACTTATTATCTCACCTAAAGCACATTAAGAATTCTGCATCAACTGTAGAGCCATGGAGGCCTTAGGACCCAGGAGGCTCGGCTTCTAGGATATTCTTCTTGTGGCCAAGAAGCTAGCAAAGGTCTGAAAGATGGTCTTTCATCCATCCTGTAGCCCTTGCTAATTGCTTCCTTGTCTGTTTAATGTATCCACCTTTCTTAAAATATGTAGGGTAAAAATGAGCTTTAATGATTCACCTTTTCCCCCCTAATTATTTGAAGTGCTAGGACTTGTACACAGGATCCTAAGCATGCAAGTTAAATCATCAAGTCTCCTGTTTTTGGTAATTTCTGTTGATTTGTTTGTTTTTGAGACAGTTTCTCTGTGTAGCTCTGGCAGTCCTGGAATTCACTCTGTAGGCCAGGTTGACCTTGAACTCACAGAGATCTGCCTGCTTCTACTTCCCAAGTGCTGGGATTAAAGGTGTGCACCACCATCACCGGCAATTAGTTCTAAAAGGAGCTAACCAATTTCCATCTCACCATGTCTTCACAGCACATACTGAGGTAAACACCATGCTCAAACACTTCCCTCTCTCACACTGGCTTTGTCCTCTTCTCATTCTTTCACCCTCAGCATTCTTATCCCCAAATCTTTAAAAATGATGAAGTAACTGAGATGTCACATCACAGCTGCTCAGGAAGCTGAAGTCAGAAGACTGGACTTCTAGGTGAACATAGAACAAAGATTCTGTCTCAAGAGTCAAGAGCCTGTGAGATGCTTTAGTGGGTGAAGACACTACACAACCTGAGTGCATTCCTGAAAACTTGCAAAACGGAAGGAAAAAAACAAATCCCACAGGTTGTCTCTGGCCCCCACAGCATATTACGGTACATATATACACACCAGCTAAATAAATACAATAAAAAAGTTTTAAAATTACATTAGAAACATTTTAAGCTAGGAGCAGTAGCTTATACTGTAACCCCAACACATGGGGGGGGGTGACAGCTGCAAGTTCAGGGCAAACCTGGGCTGCATGGTATTTTCCAGCTGGCCCGCTGCAGATAAGACCCAGTGTCAAAAAAATAAAAAAAAAAGTTAAGAGCCAATAAAAACATAGAAACATTCTAAGCCATAGCTTAAGAGCTGTTAAAAAGTTACTTGGTGTGGGTGCACCCCTCGTGGTCCTGAGTTCCTTGCTCGTGCTCTCTCTCTCCTTCTGCTCCTGATTTGGACCTTGAGATTTCAGTCCTGTGCTCCAATGTGGGTCTTTGTCTCTGTCTCCTTTCATCGCTTGCTGAAGGTTAATGTTCAGGAGGATGCCTATATGTTTTTCTTTGGGTTCTCCTTATTTAGCTTCTCTAGGATCTGAGACAATGGGGATGTTCTACTGGGAACTCACCAAGAACAGCTGGCCTGGGTCTGGAAAAGCCTGGGATAAAACCAGACTCTCTGAACATAGCGGACAATGAGGACTACTGAGAACTCAAGAACAATGGCAATGGGTTTCTGATCCTACTGCACGCACTGGCTATGTGGGAGCCTAGGCAGTTTGGATGCTCAACTTACTAGACCTGGATGGAGGTGGGGGTTCCTTGGACTTCCCACAGGACAGGGAACCCTGATTGCTTTTCGGGCGCGGGGGGGACTTAATTGGGGGAGGGGGAGGGAAATGGGAGGCGGTGGCAGGGAAGAGACAGAAATCTTTAATAAATAAATAAATTAAGCCGGGCGGTGGTGGCGCACGCCTTTAATCCCAGCACTCGGGAGGCAGAGGCAGGCGGATCTCTGTGAGTTCGAGATCAGCCTGGTCTACAGAGCTAGTTCCAGGACAAGCTCCAAAGCCACAAAGAAACCCTGTCTCGAAAAAACCAAAAACAAACAAATAAATAAATAAATAAACAAATAAATAAATAAATTAAAAAAAAAGAAAGAAAAAAAAAGTTACTTGGTGATACAAGCCTGTAGTCTCAGTACTTGGGAGGCAGACAGTAAAGATCAGAGTTTGAGAACAAACTAGGCTACATGAGTCTCTCAAAGACAAACATCAACAGCAAAATCATACTCCGTGAATCTCAGAAAGACAGGGGTATACAAAAAGGTAGCCAGCTACACAAGATTGAGAAATTGCGTGTCAGTACTCCCTCTAATGATCAGGTTGGATCTAAATAATGCAGACTACTTAGCCATTGCAGGTGTGTATTGGGGGTGGGGTGGGTAGAGACAGGGCAAAGGGTTGAGTGGCTAGGAGCACTTGCTAACCCAGCGGTTATCAATCTTCCTGATACTGAGACCCTTTAATACAGTTCCTCATGTTGTGGTGATCCCCAACCATAAAATCATTTTCATTGCTACTTCATAAGTGATTTTGATAGTTATGAATCATAATGTGAATATCTGTGCTTTCCTATGGTCTTAGGTGACCTCTGTGAAAGGATCATCCAATCCCCAGAAGGGTTGATTCACAGGCTGAGAAACATTGCGCTAGCTCGAGTTTGGTTCCCAGCATATAGCAGGTGGCTGATAACTCCAGCTCCAGGGAATCCAACACATCTTCTGGCCTCTGTGGGCTCTTGCACACATGGGATATGCATACACATAAATAAAAAACAAACTTTTGAAAAAAAGAATGAGGTGAACAGAGAATCGCTCATCACCTCTCCCATTTTTAAAAAAAAATCATAAATGCTATGGAGTCCACTCATTTCAAAATGGGAAACATAGATTTAAAAAAAAAAGGCCATACTACACACCAAAGGTAAAACAAATACTTTTATTGCACATTTATAAAATCTGCATAGTTGTGTTGTTTTCTTCCCTCCCATGATTTCTCCACTGATCCTTAAAATTTGGCTAAAACATGAGTTTCCAATTAAAAGTTCTTTAAAAATGGATTTCTCTCTACATATACATACAGATAAATGTTCTTTTCTTTATACAAATTCACATCCCTTATTTTCTAAAAAGAGAGATAAGAGAAGAGAATCAAAATGTTCTTTTAGGGCAAGGTATCTAGCCTTAAACACCTGCTTTAGACAATTTTCAAAATTTTGCTTAATTTTGGTTACTAACTATTAAAATGTTTCTTGTGCAGCTTCCCAATACCACTGGGCTGACAGTCCATGATGCTTTCACTCAGGACTGAATGTGAAGTTTCCTGATTTATCTAAAATATATACAGACCAAAAGGGGAGGTTGCTCTTCCTGGCTTTGCAGTGCAGCCTCAGGTTCCACCCACGTGTGGAAGGAAGGATTCATCAGTGCCCCCTCCATCACTGTCAAGAGCCACGCAAGAATTCTATTACCAATCTCTGATAGGTAGGGATTTTAAATGTCACCTGAACTTGACAAAATAAGTAATAACTGCTCCTCCAGTTCAGTTCTGATGAGTCACCCTTCTGCTGCCAGAAATACTGGTGACTCAAGGGCAATTTAAAAAGTGACATGAGGCCGGGCGGTGGTGGCGCACGCCTTTAATCCCAGCACTCGGGAGGCAGAGGCAGGCGGATCTCTGTGAGTTCGAGACCAGCCTGGTCTACAGAGCTAGTTCCAGGACAGGCTCCAAAGCCACAGAGAAACCCTGTCTCGAAAAACCAAAAAAAAAAAAAAAAAGTGACATGAGGCTTATAGAAACCCAAGTATTATGGGAGATTAAAAAGGCAATTCAGGTCTTCTGGGATAATTCAAAACTATAATGCACTGGCCTTCTTCAGTGAAGTAGCTCTCATGATTCTGTACCTAAATGTGCACTTTATCCTTAATCCCTTTAAACACACACCATGACAGGGGTGAGGGTCTGAACCTTGCTCAGCCACCCAGTCCCCGTCTCCAGCAGAATCTGCAACAACAGACTGCTGTGTAACAGGAGGTGACCAGAGACCAGGCTGAGTCTGGGCCGAGGGACTATTTCACTGTCACTGTTGAAACTCCTTGAATGGACTCCATGACAGCTGCAAACCGGCTGCAAAGGTCATAGGGGGAATTCGGTCTAATAGTTGGAGGCTCTTTCAAGATGATGATTTCCGCAGAAGGATCTAGAAGTCTGGGTAGAAACTCCCCTAAGCACAGCTGCAGATTTTCTGTAGAGAAAAAATGGATGGTTATGTACAAAGCTAAAGAGATCTTAGTGGAAACTAAGAAGCCTGCAGCTATACAGGAGGGCCTTCAAGCAGCCAACCTCTAGCTCCCACAGCATGCATCCTGCTGCAGCTAACAGAGAGGATGCCTTTGAGACTCTGCCTCTCACTGTAGCTGAAAGCCCACATAGGGCTGCATAACTGAGTGTATGTCCATGCCTGTTTATATGGGGGAGAGGCTGTCATGAAAACTTTGGCAGCACTAAGAGCAAACATGTGATGGTGACTCCACTGAGGACTTGGTTCTAAACACACAATGTGCATTCAATCCAGTCAATGCCAACACATGCTGCCAAACTTGCCCTTTATAGAAACATTAAAATTTAATCACAGAAAATACTTTTTAAACATTTTCCTACCATCATTTGATGTATGTAGTATCAAATTAGGTTACCTCTGGATTGGATTGGATGTAGTAAGGTGCTTGATTTTAAAAAATTGCTTTGAGTTGCTGACTTGTTTCATTTAAAAAAAAAAAAGCATATGTGACCTTTGGCTTAGGATTAGATCAGAATTTCTATCATTTCTGAAACATCCCTCAAGTACCTCTACCATTTTATACTACATATTTATGTAAAGTGGTATACTCAGTATTGATATTCATAGAATTAAAATACCAATAAACTTTGAAAACCAGTGTTTTTCAGATGTTCTAAATCCTGAAGTATCAAATATTCAATCCAGATTTAATCCTTTATAGAAAAAGAAAGCAATGCATCTCACGAGCATGAAAATTTGTTATTGTCTTTAACAAATGCTACGGTTGATTTGCATACCTATTTGATATGCCTACATACCTGGGGTGTGTAAAATGAGACCAGTGAGATGGCTCAAAGAGTAAAGGGCTTGCTGCACAAGCCGAGACTTGAGTTCAATACCCAGACCCCAGGTAAAGATGAGAAGAGAAGACAAACTCCACAAAGTTGTCTTCTGAATTACACACACACTATGGCACCTGCATCCCCCGACACATCATCATCATCATCATCATCATCATCATCATCATCATCATAATAATAAACAATATTTTTTTAAGTAGCTTGGTTTGGTAGGGCATGCCTTTAATCCCAGGTTTCAGGAAACAGAGGTAAGCAGATCTCTTTTGAATTTGAGGCCAGTCTGGTTTACAGAGTGAGTTTTAGGCCAGCCAGAACATAGTGAGACGCTGACTAAAAACAAACAAACAAATAGTTCCATGGGTGAAAAGGAGGTACAAGCAGGAAAAAATTGAAAAGCCCTACTTTAGGTCAGATCAGTAAGAAGCAAAGCCCTGCTGGCCAAGTAGCAAAAGCTATTTTGCCATCATGGTTATTCTTATTAACAATCATTCCCTTAAAACTTGAGAAATTGGATGTGATGTTCTGAACCACAGATACAATGGTGCTATTGTCTTTCAAAGGCTTAAATACACAGTGCACAGAGAATTAATAAACTATAGAGCACACGTGGCCTAAAGAAAAGCAGATAAAAGGAAGCACCACCAATTGCTTATTACAAGATTTAGCAATAAATCCTGCATACCAGAACAAATCATTAGATTATCTTTACATGAGTAGACAATGAACAAGCAGGATTCCTATCAGAATATACTCCTTTCAAGCTAACTGAACCCACCTACAAAATACTAGCCTCAGTATCTCTTAAGATATTCCATTTACTCAGTATGTTTTCTAGATCCATCCACTTGCTTCCAAATTTCAAGATGTCATTATTTTTTTCTGCGGTTTAGTACTCCATAGTGTAAATGTACCTCATTTTTTCTTATTCATTCTCTAGTTGAGGGGCATTTAGGTTGTTTCCGGGTTCTGACTATGACAAATAATGCTGCTGTAAACATAGTTGAGCACATGTCCTTGTGGCAGGACTGAGTGAGGTAACCCAGACCCAGAAAGACAAACATCATATGTACTCACTCATAAGGGGCTTTTAGACATAAAGTAAAGAAAAACCAGCCTACAATTCACAATCCTAGAGAACCTAGATAGCAAGAGGACCCTAAGAAAGACATACATGGATCTAATGTACATAGGAAGAAGAAAAAGACAAGATCTCCTGAGTAAACTGCGAGTAAATAGGGACCATGGAAGAGTGTAGAAGGGGAGAGGAGAAAAAAGGAGGGGAATGGAGAAAATATATAGCTCAATAAAAACAATTAAAAAATGAAAAAAAAAAAAGGGCTGGAGAGATGTGGTTAAGAGCACTGACTGCTCTTCCAGAGGTCCTGAGTTCAATTCCCAGTAACCATATGGTGGCTCACAGCCACCTATAATGAGACCTGGCGCCCCCTTCTGGCTTGTGGGCATACATGGAAGGAATGCTGTACACATAATAAATAAATAAATATTAAAAAAAAATGAAAAAAAAAAGATATTCCATTTACTAATTCACTGAAGTAATTAGTTAATAATATTTTTATACACAGTAACTTCAAACCTTAGGAAATTTAGAGAGCCATCAGCTAATCACACTCTGCATAAACATATTTTGATGTTTAAACCATTAAAACCCAGAATTTAGTAGTTGGAGAAATAACAGAAGGCTAACGTTCCTACAGAGTACTGACTGTTTTCACACAGGGATTGCTGAGGCAGAGGAGTAGCAAGGGCTGTAGGGTACTTGCTCAGCATGGCCCTAGGTTTAGTTCCAAGTATTGGAAAAAATTAAAAAGTGACAAACTAAGTCACAGCTCTATAGAAATTGCTGACCCGAGTGGTTTCAGGACTGGCTGAGACAAGGAGGTGGAAAGGAGTAAAAGCCAAGCTCCCAGACTCTCTTTCCATGGAGCATACCCATGTATCTTACTGAAGATATTAGGGGTTCCCAGCGACACTAAGGAGTGAGACCACTATGAATTCCCAGATACTCTATAAGCAGTACTACTGACATACCTGCGATATCCTTCCCCAGGTAAGAGCACCAATGGTTCCTCATGACTTCAATGGCATCCAAGTCATCCTTGGAGATGTCGTTATTAATGATCAGGTGGATACAGGGAATGATCAACTCATTCATCACATTAATGCCCTCTGTTACAGAGTGGTCCTCATTTGTTTCAAACAGAGAAGCAGCCTTGGCATTGAGCTCCTACAGATAAAAGGCAGAGAGGCGGAGAACGTTTGGGGAAAAAGTATCAACTTAGTAGGAATCTAAGCCAACAGTCACACCAAAATCACCTAACTGGGGGCAGAGGGAGCACAGGTTCCTTCCCCAGATGTGCTGACATAATTATGATTAGGATGTAGGTGACCTGGGCCCTGTGATTTTAGAGCAACTACCATGATGATCTGAATGCACCCAAACTTGTGACTCGGTGGCCAAAACTTAAAAGTCAAGGTCATATTTGAGATCTGTTTCTACCCAAAGACCTATTTAGTGATTCTCAAACTTCACTGACTGATGGGGGAGTCTTCTGTTTTGTGTTAATTTAATTGGTTAAATAAAGAGACTGCCTTGGCCCTTTAATAGGATATAAAATTAGGTAGGCGGAGTAAACAGAACAGAATGCTGGGAGAAAGAAGCTGAGTCAAGGAGTCGCCATGATTCACCTACCGGACACAGAAGCAGGTTAAGATCGTCCCTGGTAAGTCACCTCGTGTTGTTACAGGGATATTAGAAATGGGTTAGATCGATATGTAAGAGCTAGCCAATAAGAGGCTGTGTCTAAAAGAATACAGTTTCTGTATAAATTATTTCGGGTGTAAAGCTAGCCGGGTGGCCGGCAGGGTGGCGGGACACAGCCCGCCAATCGTATTTCAACAACTGACTACTAGACACCCATGCAGAAGACACTGAAACCCAGGCTGCTCCCCAGACTGGTCAGCTGTCACCAATGTCTGAAGGTCCCCTATGGGACTCTAATACACACTAGAGAATGAGAGCAGGGATGGAAAGCCTAAACCATCCCTAATATAGCAGCAGCAAGAAAGGGGTGAGAACTCAAGGTGACGATCCGTATCTGGTGACTTAGAAGCCAACAGCACAAAGCCTTTTAGTGCTCCTCTTCTTAGCAAAGTAGCCAGCCCTGCCACACCTGACATAGCAATCCAAGAATTATCAGAAAATGAGGATGTTGAGGGGAGGGAAATGAACACATATAGACATCTGTACACCAGCCATCTCTTGACACTTCATGAAGAACTAGCAGGGCCTACACTCCTGGGCAGGCTGACAGGATTACACCTGCCTTTCCCTATGGCTTCCCAATGCACAGGAGGGAAGGTGACAAGGTTAGCAAGACCAACTCTTACATTCTGTAACCCTCTATAGACTGGACTTCAAGTCCTGAAAACTGTCACCTGATAGGTGACCTCGGAAAACATCACATTCTCTCCATGTATTCATTGTGGCTCAGAGGAAACAGCTGACCAGAAGGCGGCTCTGTGCTTAACAAACTCATACATAGTGGGGCAATATACTAAAAGCTTTAATGCAGGCACATGTAAGGGCAGAGATAGGCATGGCTTGCTTAACTTGTCAAGGGTTGGAAAGAACAACACAGCAAGAGAGGGAGAAGAGATTAAGGTTTTGTAGGCAGTACAAACCAGAAGGCATTTTCTGCGGTATAATGCGATCACAGACTCCTTCACACCCCTGCGGGGCCCCTTCATCAGCAGGGCGGCATTGCTCTGGTAGGCATATACTAGATAGGACAGTGCTTCCTGGTACCTACAAGGTGGGAGAAAAACCACAGCTGATCTCTCTTTCATCAAAACCTAGGGCTTAGCTCTCAATTCTCTGCAATGAGAATATATTCAGTTACAATATGGTGTGTACTAGGAAAAGCTTAGGGGCCAACGACCACAACCAGTCTCAGCAATTCTGCACAATGGCCAAGAAAGGGAAGGCAAATTAGGAAACATCTTCAGGCCTTAGGTTTTCTCCACCTCTAAGACAAAGAAAGGGACTAGCTATTCACTATGGCCCAGGCCAATCAAAACTTCATTTTCTCGTCACTAAGGGAACCCAGCATAACATTATCTCTTCAAAAATAAGTCCATTATTATTATGTGAAGGACACCCCCCCTCCCAAAAAAAGTGTGACAGATGTGTAGAACAAGGCTAAGCCAGACATAGGTGGTGTAGAGGCCACAGAGTACACGACAAAGCAGGGGGACTTATGGTTCTGACATCTGAGTATCCCTGAGTGGGTGTCAGAGTTCTCGGTAGCAATGTCAGCGAAAGAAAAGGCCCACATACTTTCCTTTTTGAAAGAGTTCCAGGCCTGTTAGGAGGTACACAGACACCTTTCGGAACAAACTGTAATCTTCATGCCACCTCTGGAAAAGAAGGACCACCATTAATGACTTGTCTCAGGAAACCAGTACTTCATTTCCACTGCCATACTCTCAGTACAAGCATTTACTGAGCAAATCTGGCCAACTACAAAAACATGTAAACTTTTGGATAAAAAAAAAAAGATTTAAAGCTGAGCATGGAGGTGCATGCCTGTACCCAACACAGGAAAGGTGGAGGCAGAAGGATCAAGAAGCCAGAGTCTCAGCTCCATGACAAATCCGAGCCTCACCTAGGCTGTAGAATATAACGTTTATATCACTGACCCTAACTCGCAGTGTTCTATTTCTTCTGCTAAGGGTCAGAAAATCATTTTACTTCACCTAACAAGTTTAGAAACCCTCCTAATCCTAACACAACACTCAAAGTTATTCAGCTATGGCTTACACAAATGACACTTGAGACATCAACAGTCAGACACAGGGAAGAAGAGAGCACAAGACTACTCAAGCCATACAAACCACTGCCAGTTAAGCAAGTGTAGATAACACACAAGTGTAGACAATACACACATGCAGACAGCACAACTCAGTACTTCTGTCCACAGAAGAGGTCTTTTGCTTCTGTTTTTAAATCTGTAGTTCCACATATTTTACTGCATACTAGAAGATGACACCCTTACTCACCCACTAACACACAGACACTGCCTAGGACAAGGCTCCAAAAGGCCCTTGGGAGATAAGCACAGACACAGTCTAGCATAAGACCAACAAGAAAGAGATCTGTGATTCTGAGGCTAAGACAAGATCTTTATTCATATTCTATGCCTCAATCTGTAGCCCTGGCTGTCCCAGAACTCCCTATGTAGACCAGGCTGGCCTCAAACTCAGAGGCCTCTGCCTCCTGAGTGCTGGGATTAAAGGTGTGCCAAACCACATTCAGCTTCTTTTCCCCCCTTTCAAATTTTAATTGTTATTAGGAAACTAGTCAGTTTGGTAACATAAAATTGTTCATTTTGTCTCCAGTACCACCTGCCTCCAAAATTAATATTTTGGGAAGAATTAAATATACAAAACAACCAAACTTACCTTATACTCTTCCATGTTCATATCATCTGGACCAATTTCCATCAGTTTGGCCTGAGCCACCTTCATGATACTGATAGATCTGTGTGGGACAGAGTTCAGAAAGCAATGGCAGGGTGCAGGGCAGCACCTCCGCAATAGAGGAACTTGCCGAAAGAGAACCCCCCCCCCCCCCCCCCGCAGGAACAGGTCTGGCATTCTCACCTCTCATCATAGCTAAGGTTTCTATCAGCAAACTGTTCCAGAAGGGTTCGTTCTACTACCCTTTTGGGTGCTTCATTTTGGAAAAAGTAGACAAGGACATGCTGAAGGCGAGGGTCACTGTGAGAGGTGGGGGTCTCTTTGGCAAGCTGATAGAGCCTGGAGTATTCTTCATGAAATGCCTGTTAAAAACAGAATTGGGGAGCAGAGAAGGGAACACTGTGGACTTGAGCACATACACAGAAACTGACACCAAAATGCCAGAGGACCTCTCATTAATCCACGCTAGGTTAAGGACTACTTGTCAAGAAATTGCAATGTGAATAGTAGGCATATCATCACTCCCTCCAATCCTAGCACTAGAGAAATACTTCACTCAAAAAATAAACACATTTTCCTCATCAAGTTTTGGTTGTTTTTGTGGAGAGGGTCTAGACTTCACTATATAGATCAGGCTGGCCTTAGACTTGTGGTCATCCTCTTGGTTGTGCCTCCCAAGTGCTAGAATTATAGGTATGTGCCACTATGCCTGGCTCTCGTGGAGTTCTTAAAAACACAAGAATTTAGTTTAAATTGTTTAAAAATCCACCCAATGTGATTTAATTCAAACATCTTACGCTTAAAATACTTTAAATAGTATAACCTTTCTCTTTTTAATGAAGATTCCCAAGATACAAAGGCACAGTCAATCAGTTTGTGACATAAATCAACATTTAACCACCTCTTCATCTCTGAAGGCTGAATGCAATGCACAGTGGCACAACTGTTAGGCTAGTACCAGGTGAAGATTAGTCAATAGCTTTGTGGGACCGTTTGCTCACCAGTTGGACTTCCTAGGAAAGATGGTGTCGTATTTCACTTTAACACAGTATATTTTATGTCTCTGTGTGAGGCTGCCAAAGGGCAATCTTGAGTATCATTCTTCAGATTCTATCCAACACACATTTATTGGCGGGAGGTGGAAGGTTGAAATAGTCTCACGTGTAGCCCTAGCTGGCTGGTAACTCACTATGTAGTCCAGGTGAGTCTTGAACTCAGAGATCCCCCTGCCTCTGCCTCCAAATGCTGGGATTGAAGGAACATGACACTATGCGCTGTCCCACCATAATTTTTGGTACAAGGTCTCTTACTGGCCTCAGACTGACCAAGTAGGCTACTATGTTGGCTGGCCAGCAAGCCTCGGGGATCCTATCTCTGTCTCTGCAGCACTGGGATTACAAATATGCACTGTACCATGTCTACTTACATGCGTGTATGTATGGGGCAAGGAGCATATGTGTCTAGTACCCATAGAAGTCAGGAGAATGTCAGACCCTCTGAAGCAGGGCGATGAGCTGGGCTGTTCAGTGTGGGATATTAAAACCAAACGGGTTTTCTGCAAGAACAGAATGTGCTGGGATATCTCTCCAGCCCTGTATAATTTTTTATTATAGGTTCTGGAAATCTAACTTAGATCTTCCAACCGAACTACCTTCCCAGCACAGGCCATCTTAACACCATTTCCCACCGTCTCGTGGAACTATCCCTGGGTCATGAGGATTAAAACGTTAAAACAAGAGTACCTTAATAAGCCCTGCTTCAGACCCGTCTCGGTCAAAGGTCTGGCGTGCTTTAGCTATGGCCAGGATGACCCCTTGCATGGCAGGGCTCAGCATCACCTACCATAGAGGACACAAACAGGGAGAAAAAGGAGAGCAGACAGGTTCAAAAGGAGACTGGATGAAGACAGGTGATCAGGGTGCTGATGAGAAACAGAGCACTGTCTCCTCGGCCAGCACAGGCTGTGGGTCAAACTGCACAGCCTATTCTAGACACATGCACAAACTTGGCTGTCCTTGTAATGATGCCTATGACAAGCTGTCCCTCTGCATGCACATTCTAATTCTGTAAGACAAAGAAAGATGTCCAAAACCATTTCCACTGGGCACTGCTGAAGAATAAGCTCAACTATCTGGTCAGCACTTCAACTTAGCTCCCTAAATGAAGGCATAAAGGCACAGACCTACCTATGAATAACTGCAAATTTCCAATAAATAAAAAAATATGTACCCACAGCAAAAGACAGAAACCTGAGTCAGGATTAATGACTATTTGTGTGTAGTATAACAGAAAAGGAGACAGGCAGACCATGAGAAGCAGCTGCATCCTGAACTTTAGAACTTCAATCTACATTTGTTTTACTTACTGAGCAATTGGAAAACTTCTACTTGGAAGACAAAATAATGAACTACCATCAAAAGCAAACTGTCTCTAGAAGGTAAACATATCCTGCCTTCTCCAGGCCAAGCTTTGATGAACACACACATGCACACACACATGCCAACAGTACACAGCAGGAATGGGTCTCCAGTGCTTTTCCAAAAATGGCAGCTAAGGTCAAAAGCAGACAGGCCTCCATGGCTGTTACCTGTTTCAGTGAGAAAACATTAGCTCATGACAGACACCTTCTGAAAGACAACATATAGCTAGCCTGCACTCTTCTCTGTACCTCCTCATCATATCCATCTGCATCAGATCTAACCAGAATCCTTCCCACACTGGGAATCTCGACTTCAGAGACCTCAGAGTTAGGCGGGGCAGCAGCCTCTGTGTCACTGGCCTCTGGGGTCTGCTCTGACTGCTCTGCAAGGTTTGTTTCCTGGGGTTTGGGCTTCTCAGGTTCAGCTTCCTTACGCTGTGGCAGCAGAATGGAGAGAAAGAGTAAGAACAACAATAATGGGGGAAAACAAGAAGAAATAAAGAGGGGTGGTTAAATTCAACAGACACATGAACAATAAAAACGACAGACAGCTGGCAGTCGGTGTCAAAAGTCAGACCCTCTTGCAGGAGGGCCACTCATTGTCTCCCCCCTATGCAGTCTCACCTCACTCAAGGCTGCTTCTACTCCGCTCTTCTCATAGGCATGGGCTGTGTTTGCAATAGCTTGGGCAGTCTGCTCCTTTGCAATCACAGCATGTTCAGAGGACAAGCATCGAACGCCATGAGAGGAGGTTGCTGAAGACTCTGACCAAACAAAAAGAAAGTCAAATAGGTGTCACAGCTGATGAATAACATTCTCAACACTCTGAAAATAGGCAAGCAGGAGGAACACACAGTTAAATACAGTCCTGGCACACCGTTTGCAAAGCCCATGTAAACGTCCTTAGAAATTTTGACAAGCAACAGCTATTCCATACAAGGACTCTTGAAGGTCTGTTAAAATTACTGTGCTCGGTTCTTCCTATTTTTGCACACTACAGATTTTTCCTTCTATCAACCATTTCTTAGGAAGATCTCCTATGGAGAAGAGTTTTCATCAAGTCAGCTTTTAATCTTGTCATAATTTCTCCTACAACTTGTGGGATAAGCCTTTCTTGCATTATTTCTGCTCATCAGAAAGCACCTTCTAAAGATACAATGATTCTATCATATTGTGTGATAGCAACTATAAATGAAACCCACTGTTGGGCCAGAAATGGTGCCAAGCCTGCTGACCTGCATTTGACCCTGCGAACTGTGGTAGGAGAAGAGAGCTGGCTTCCACACATCATCCTCTTGTGCTACTGCATGTGTTCTCCCACCCATTCCATTACGGAAAAATGAGAAATTGACAAAAACAGAAGCCCACAGTGAAGAGAGGCATCACCACGCCCCCCGGCACCTGGGGGCGGCTGCGGAGTGCAGCAATACCTGACTAGACCGGCATGGCACCTTCCTTGGGTACCTTGAGATGTGGAGAAATCCTGTGAGGAGGAGTTTGGGGAGGACTCCATTTGTGGGATCTTACAGGACTGCTCTTCTTCCCATTCCTCCACCTCTTGCTCAAACCTCCAGTTATCTTCCTGAATGTACTGCCTGAGTTCCACAGACAGTGCTTCCACTTCTCCCACCATTTGATCAGACTCGTTAGGAGCTGCCTCTGAGGAAAGCAGTTAAAATGGAGAGCCATCAAGAAAAAGGTAAACCAAAAATAAATCAGACAGACCTTCCCAGAAGGAAGCGCGGCACATTTCATCTTTTCTCTTGTCCCTACATGGACACATGCACAGACGTGTATACTTACACATATGCAATTCTATCAGAAACTCTGATGACATATCAGGAGCCATGCCAAGAAGCACCAGCAGGTGCTTCTGTATGTGTCTGCTGGGGCAACAGAGACAGCTCAGCAGCTAACAGTACTGGCTGCTCCTGCACAGGTCCCAGGTCTGGTTCCCAGTACCTACATGGTAGCTCATAGCCATCCATACCTCTAGTTCCAGGAGATCTGACACTCTCTTCTGGCCTCTGCAGGCATCAGGCATGAATATTGTACACACACATATATGCAGTCAATATTCATCAGCATAAAATAAAAATAAACCCTTAAAGTCACTATCTATTGGATGAGTGAATGAATGAATACATGACAGAAAAATGATTTAATCATAGGCAGTCACTAGGTGAAGTCAGTGTTTCTTTAAAATGTAAACAATATATGTGGCAGAATCTTAAGCTAGGGGATTGGAGAGATGGTTCAGTGGTTACAGTGCATGCTGCTCTTGAGGAAGAACCAAGTTCAGTTCTCAGCATCCATGTAGGATGGCTCATAACTACATGTAACTTCAGCTCCAGGGTATCCTACATCTTTTGGCTTCTGTAGGTACCTGCATGCACAAATGCACATAAGCACAGGCACATGCAAAGAAATATTTTTTAACCTTAAAAAAAAAAAAAAAGAAAAAAAGAAAAGAAAATTTAAAGTAAAAGTTGTATCAATCTAAGACTGGTGAGAATGTCCTAGCAGGGCATGGTGGCACCCAGCTACAATCTCAGTACAGCAACAGAGAGGGAAGGCAGGAGGATCAGGAGCCAGAGAGGTAGAATAGACTAGATGACATACTATCTCAGAAAGACAAAAGAATGTTCACTTATTTTAATATAGTTGAGTAAGAGTTTCAATCAAGGCATTGATCTGAGTGCACTTTGGAGGCATAGGCAGGCAGATACTCTATAGTGAGACTCTGTCTCAGTAAGAAAAATAAAAAGGAATGGGAGGGGGGGAAGAGCTAAGTACTTATACTTCTTCAAATTCCACACAGGTATGTGCTATCAAAAATCAAGATGAAATATTGGGTAAATGGTGCATAATCAAGAACATTAAGAACTTTAGTAAAAAAAATGGCAAAAACATCAAGGGCATTATTAAATTCTAATTACGTTATCAAAACCAAAGAGTCTACAACAGAAGAGCAGATCCTTGTTAGCTGTCACTAAGCAGCCTTTTCATGAACAAGAACAAAGTCTACTTTTCCTTCTGAGTCAAGGTATTATATAGCCCAGGTTGCCCTTGAACACCTGATCCTGTCCCACCTCTGAGTGCTAGAAATCCAAGCATGCACAACCACACTGAGTTTTCAGAGTGCTGAGAATCAAACCCAGGGCTCCATGCACACCAGGCAAGCATTCTACAAACAAATCTAAATTCCCAGCCTGCCATGTACTCCATAAAACAGAAATGTAAGCAGTGTAACAAGGAACTCACAGGCAACCAAGAGCCACTACAGCCCTCTGTAATTCCCCAGCCACCACTATTGGCTTTACTCTATAAATATAGGGCGGCTGCTTTCTAACTTTCTGAGACAGGCTCTGCTTTAGCCCTGCCTTACCTCTTAGATGCTAAGATTACAGGTTCAAGCCAGTACACCCACTTAAGGAAGTTCTATTTATGAAAAATTAAGTTTGCTGAATTCTCAATTAGTAAAAAGTGGATAGAAATGAACAGAAAAAATACCTCCATGAGGAAAAACAGGGAAGGGAAGTAGATCCTAAAATCTACGTACACACAGAACATGTCTCTATGACAGAGGCATCACAGTGTAGACCTGCTGGGGAGTGGGGCTGATGGTGTCAAAGACAGAAGTAGAGAAAAGTAAACCTATTTTCTCTTTTTATTCTCTTACAGTTTTTATGTTTTAAAAGTATTTTACATAATAAATTGTAGTTTAAATGTTTTCAACATAAGGAAAAGACTGTTCTTCTCCCAGGGACTATATTTCCCCCCAACTCTGGATTCCATTCAGCCATTTTTACCTGCATTGAAGTGGGGTAGCTTGTCATTGATATACATCAAGCAATACGCACTGACATTTCTCAGACCCCCATAAGAATCTCTTTCAAGTTCCTCCCAAGAAGACTCAGTGACAGAGATATCATTATATTTGAGCCAGATTTGCCGAGGTTGGTTGTAGATGTAAGCCCAGTAGTGTCCAGCATTGGCTTGTCCTTCATGAACAAGAACGGCATGTAAACGGTAAGGCACCTGCAAAGCAGAAAGGAAGGTTCTCAGACGAAGCAAAGAAATCTGATGACGTTTACATTACTAGAACTCAAAACATTCCCAACAACCAGGAAGAAGGGAAATGACAACACACACTAGATAACAGAGAGAGTTCACATTGAGCATTTTACTACTTCAGGATAGACTAATGAAAATACAACCTTGGAAGATATCAATCCCGGGGCTCTTAAAATCAGAGAGTTAAAGCAGTCCCTTCTGGGTGCTCTTTTATTTCAGCCTTAAGTTCTGCTCAGTACCTTACTATGCTTTCATTTAGGTGCAGATTTTTTTGAAACAGCATAAGAGAAAAGAGAGAAAGCCAAGTCACATGGTCTATTCCTATTCCGTACCACAACCATGCTTACTGCCCTGCTTGGGAGCAGAGATGTGTTCCAGAGGCACTGTGCCATGGGTCAGTCACAGAGGAGTCTCTGCACTACTGTGTCCACGAAACGAATGTGGACAGTAAGGATTTCTGCTTAGACTGGCTTCCTTCTAGAGTCTCTCATCACCAGAGAAATGAAGCATCAGGACATTGCTAAGGGGTTTCTCAGAAGACTATGGAGATGGAGAACTGGTCTCTAATTGGTTTCCCCATGGCACTGTTTCAGTTACCATTTGCAGAGAACTTTTTTATTAATATTTAATAGCAAACCTGCTTTTAAGATGTCTTTTTTTTTTTAAATTATGTGTGTGCGCGTGCATGTGGGTATGTAGATGTGAATTCAGGTGCCCATAGAAATCAGAGGTATTGGATCTCCCTAGAATTGGCAGGTATAGGTAGTTTGGGAACTGAACCTGGGTCCTCTGTAAGAACAGCATGCACTCCTAATCACCGAGCCGTTTCTCCAGCCACTCACAGCAAATCTTTCCATTATATGGAAAAACACCACATGGTAGAATCCAAAAGAGGATGTTTTACGTGTCAACACACATAGAAGACGCTCTGAATCTTTCCACTTGAGGTAAGAGAACAATATAGGAGCTCTTTCCTTGTGGTGTTGCATTCTCTACCATTTGTATCAGCCTACTTTCCATGACTTTTAATTCTACCTGATGAAGAAGAGGATCACAGTACATCTGCTCGATAGCCTGGGTGGTGCTCGCGATACAATTCTTTAAATCTGTTAAGAAAGAAAAACTCTGTGAGTGCATCTATATGCTGGGCCTGCTAACCATGATGGCCACACACACACAAACTACACTGCTTCTCTGCACCCCATCCTAACAACAGCACTGCTTCTCTGCACCCCATCCTAACAACGGCACTGCTTCTCTGCACCCCATCCTAACAACGGCACTGCTTCTCTGCACCCCATCCTAACGCTCTCTACATCCAGCTAGGAAGCACAAAGCAGCACGTGGTACTGAAGGGCAAGTGCTCCAGGTTATAAAGGCTTTTAGTTCAACGGAATTACATTGAGGTCTGGCACTGAAATTTCCTAAAAAAAATTGTCTCAGTTTAGGAAAAAGTTGCATGAACTGAAGCAAGAGCTGAGAAAAAGTACAACGGTAACCAGGAGAAACCTGGGCTCAGTGGCAGTGGGCACGCTTATCCTGTATGAGAGCCTTGGAGGGCGGCAATCAGAGCGGAGCACGGGTAGCTATTGTTTAAGAAGCAATCATTTTGTCAAGATGCTCACAGCTGTGGGCACTATCCCCACAATGGGGAAGCAGAGGCAAAAAGATCATGAGTTTGAGACTAGCCTGAGCAATAGAGACCTTATCTTTAAAAAAAAGCAAGAAAAATATTAAACCATACTTACATTTAACAGCACCTGGTTATGAGGAAAACACTGTTGCTATCCCTTTTACTATCAATTACAAACTTCACATTTAAACAACATCAATTATTAATTCCAACATTCCAGAGTTGGAAGTAGAAGGAGCATATGAAGTCAAGGTCATTTCTGAGACCTCAAAGGGGCAGGACAAGAGCAGGAGGAGAGAAAGGGAGGAATATTCACTGCTTGATTTCACCAAAGGTTCCCATAATTGCAAAACTTCTAGAATTGCCAGAAATTGGGGGGGGGGGGGGGGATGAATTTGAGAGGGATAACTTCACAGGACCAAGCTTACAAAGCAGGAGAAGGACAAATGTCACAGGCCTGACCACACTGTGTGAGTGACAATGACAGCCTGAATTCCCAGGGTGACTAGCTTCCAAACAGTCAAACAAACAGGAAAGGCAGGGAGCAGCTGACATGTTTTCAGAGCACCAACCTTGTATATCCTGTTCAATCTCACTCCGCCACCTCTGAAGGCAGGTTTTAACAAAGTTCATCTCCTCATCAGTGACTGTCCGAGGAGCTGGGGACGCAGGCATCCCCAGGGAGGAGTGGGGGGAGGTAAACGGTCCATTCATTATATCAGACCTGGGCAGAGTATTTTCAGGAGAAGAAAAGGTGCCTTCAGCATCCTGAGAACAGCCTTCTGGACTTGAACTAGAGGAAAACAAAAGATGATACTCATTTTGTAATATCTAAAATGCAAGTTGGGCTGGGCATGGTGGCAGAAACCTGTAATCTCATCCCTTGGGAGGCTAATACAGGACTGCTGTGACACTGAGGCCACCCTGGTACAGTTGAGAGCCTTTCTCAAAAAGGAAGAAAATTCAACTGTACCTAAGCTAATGCACTTCAAAAAACCAACCACTATATGAAAAGGTACAGTTACAAAGATGTGATGTCTAGCAACGGTGAGGCTGAGGCAGGAGGGTCTCAATTGCAAGGCCAACTATGTGGTGAGGTCTTATCTAAAATCTACATATAGAAAAGGTAACTTTTTCTTATATGAACCACCTCATTTAACTCAGCTTGTTATGAGGCTGACATTAGTGCTATCCCCATTGGACCAATGGCAAGAGTAGCATTTAACAGAACTAAGTTGGAATATGCCTATAACCCCAGCACCCAAGAAATGAAATGGGGGCAGGAAAACCTCAAACTCAGTGGTTCTCAGCCTTCCTAATGCTGAGACCCTTTAATACAATTTCTCTTGTTGCTTGACCTACAACAATAAAACTATTTTCACTGCTACTTCATAAGTGTAATTTTGCCATTGTTATGAATCATAATGTAAATCTGTATTTTCCTATGGCCTTTGGCAACTCCTGAGAAAGGGTCATTTGAGCCCAAGAAGGGTCACAACCCACAGGTTGAGAACCACTGCTCAAGTTTAAAACCTATAAGTGCTATAAAGTAAGATCTTGTTCTCAAAACAAAGAAACAACAAAACCCATAAAAGCACTATGCTCAGCTGGCATAATGCTTGCCTAACATGTATAAGACACTGGATTTGACTCCCTACACCGAATAAGCCAGGCCCAATAGCAAGAAAAGAGAAGTAAATGCAAATTTATCTACTAACATTACCAAAGTAATGCTGCCTGACATGGGTGCTGTTAACTAGAGTCCTCTGCAAAAGCAGTATGCATTCTCTCTAGCCTCAACAAATCAGTTTTTTTTCTCCTTTTTTTATTGTTGTTTTTGAGACAGGGTTTCTCTGTGTGACTCTGGCTGTCCTGGAACTCAATGTAGACCAGGTTGGCCACAAATTCATAGATCTGCCTGCCTCTGCTTCCCAAGTGCTAAGATTAAAGCTGTCACCTCCTGGCTAGCAACTGGGTTTTTTTTTTTTTAATATTTATATCTTATTATGTATATAATATTCTGTCTGTGTGTATGACTGCAGGCCAGAAGAGGGCACCAGACCTCATTACAGATGGTTGTGAGCCACCATGTGGTTGCTGGGAATTTAACTCAGGACCTTTGGAAGAGCAGGCAATGCTCTTAACCTCTGAGCCATCTCTCCAGCCCTAGCAACTGGGTTTTTAACATAAGCTTTTCTCTGTGGGGGACAAATGTGCCCTAGTATTTTTATTACCAAGGCACACATACATGCTGAACCTGTTGGCACTTTCAGGCTATAGAGACTGTTGGCTGAATGAGCATAGTCAGAGGATCCTGGCTTGGCCTCCCTATGTCTTCATGAGCCCAGTCTTCTTGTCCTGAGAATTCTAGCCAGTCCCTCCCTTGGGTAACTCTGCTCATGAGTAGGTTTTTTCCTTGTTGTTTACTTAAGACACTCTTCCTTTACCACAGATGAAGCACAGAACCTGGAAAACCTGAAAAAGAGAGACACTTAGAAAACCACAGCCTATCTGAACTCTGAGAAAGGAGTTCCAGGACAGTTAGCTCAGAGCAAAGCAGTCCTGAAGAGTCTGATCCAGGAAATGGACAGTGACAAGTACTAAGGACACAGCCAGAAGGGGTGGGGATAAAACTATTCCCTGAGGACAAAGCTCACCCCTTGAGCTATCTGGGGTGAGAGCTCAGCAGTGGAAAAAGATGGGAAATAGTTCAAATAAGAATGGAAAAACAATACAACGCAATTAAGAAGTCTGCTTCCATTACCTTTCCTTGGATGTGAGATCAGAAACTGGGCAGTGCACTGAAGGAGGTGGTGATGTCATGTGCTCAGCGCTTCCAGACAGACAGCTTTCAAAGGCAGGTTTTGTACTGGCAAATTCAATAACGTATTTCAACATGTCGGGGAGCGGAAACCGAGCTGGGCCGGAGCCGTACTTCACATACCTAAGAGACAAAGACACTGGAACACTCCTGCCCAAGTCTGCTGGACAGAACTGCTAACAAAAACCTTATCATGCAGAGCCAATGAGAAGCCTCAGGTGTGCTAATATCCACCTATAACACTAGCACTCAGGAGGCTGAGGCAGAAGGATCGCCAGAGTTTAAGAACCACCTAGGTTACAGAGTAAGTTTGGGGAAGCCTAGTGAGAGTGTTATCTCAATATTACATCAAGAAAATCTACATATAGTAGCTAATTGGTTGCTCGATCTAAAAGGCTCTAACAATAAAACTGCTACAAGTCTGACCCTGACGCCAAATGGGACCATTCCAGACAGCTCCTGCTCTGCTTTGCTGTCAGTCACAGTCAGGCTCTGCTCATCAACTTAGTTCTTCTTAAAGGAACATACGTGCTCCACACTACAACTGGAAAACCATCTGGTGATGCAAAGAAAATACTCAAGGGCATTTTCTTTGCCCTTTTAGGCCAACTGCTTCATAACTGATTGAGAGAAACCCAGAAATCGAAATTAGACATTTCACATACTCTATTATTCGTGAATGTGATTGATGGCATAGGCCAGACATAAATTATTTGCAATTTCTTCAGGAAGAGTAAATAATAGTCACAAATATATGACTGAAATAGCAAAGTAGTACTTAAAGTTATTTTTAAAGATGTATTTCTATTTTATATATGTGAGTGTTCTGCTTACATGTATGTCTGTACACATGAATGCCCTAGATGGTCATGAAGAGGTGTAGGATCCCCAGAACTGGAGTTATGAGCTGCTATGTGAATCTGGGGGAACTGAACTTGGATCCTTTGCAAGAGCAGCAAGTGCTCTTAACTGTTGAGCCATCTCTCCAGCTCCTTAAGGTTTTATTTTTAATTTAATTTTCGTGTGTGTGTATCTGTGTTTGTGCACACACATGTGCACGCAGGTGCTCAGAGTCCAGAAGTGGACACTGGATTCCCTGGATCTTGAGTTATAGGTGGTTGTGAGTCACAATGACCTGAGTGCCAGGAACTGAACTCTGCTCTTTTGCAAGCACAGCATACATTGTTGACTCCTGAGCCATCTCTTCAGCCTATAAACAAACTACTTTAATAATACCTTATATTCTGCCATTACTTTAAACTCACTATGGAGATTTAGTTCAATGGAGTCTATAGTTCACTAAAGTAGAATTTAAAGGTAGGATAATCAACCTAACTGGTTCACACAGGAAACTTCATTATTCTAGATTTCCACCTTACAAAAGAAAACAGCCACTTCACCATTTTTCTTCCCTAAATACAGTAGAAAGAAATGCATTTAAACATGGAACTAAGAAAAGCATCTATTTCTGTAGCAAAAAGGACACCACAAAATAAAAATCCTAGAGCTTGAGCTGCAGCTGTGGGTAGACTGCTTGCATTGCATCTGTGAAATCCTAGTTTGCTTCATAGCACTACACAAAACAGGCATGGTAACGCTCAACCCAGCACTCACAAGGTATAGGCAGGAGGACAGAAAATCAAGGTCCTCTTCAGCTACACACTGTTTGAGGACACCCTGGGGTATAGAAGACCCATCTCAACAACAACAACAGCACCACTGTTAAATGAGCAGGGTTTGGTAGCGTGCACCTGTAATTCCAGTACTTAAGAGGTAGAGGCAGGCGAATCGTTATGATTTTATGACCAGCCTGGTCTACATAGCAAGTTCAAGCTTCTATAGTGATATGTTGTCTCAACCCAAACTAACAACAACAAAAGAGAATAAAATAAAAACATGAGTGAAAACTAAAGGGCACTGCAACTCAGCATCAAACAAATGACAGAGGCGTATAGCAAAGGCTGCTTTAGGCAAGGCAAAGGCTTGGCTACCAACCACTGTGTCCCCTTCAAGGTCACTAATGGAGGAACAGTGTGTGCCTGTCAGGGTGGAAGAACCCTACCATTCAATCACTGCCATGCACTTCAATGTGCTCTTCCATTACAAGCTTATCAAACTCCACGCAATCTAAAATAGAGAGCAGAACTGATAACCCGGCACAGGAACATAGCGTACCAGCTTCCAGCTAACTTTCCCAGGCTTGTTACATTTTAATAGAATACTTATATAAAATCCCAGAGAAGTTTATCATCTAAGAGATTTGTGTTTATTTGTGGCAATCACATCTAAGTTTCAGATCTTAGGACAACTACTTCATACAAGGTAGCACCTGTTTTGAAAAATAGGATCAGACCAAGAGACGGGCTGGGAATCAGTCTAGGACAGAGCATTTGCCTACTGGGCACAAGGCGCTCAAATCTCAACACAGAGAAAAAAAATAGCAAAGTGTTTTCAAAAGTACTGTCTGTCTATTCTATATAAAAGAAATCTTACTTTCAATACCTACCACAGCTATTTAGTGAAGAAATAACGAATACTTGGTTTGTTCTCTGAGACAAGGTCACTTATAATTCAAAATCTAGAGTAGTATTATACTAAGGACAATATTCCCGTAATCTCGCTGAGTATTTTTTTTTTTCCCAAGACAGGGTTTCTCTGTGACTTTGGAACCTGACCTAGAACTAGCTCTTGTAGACCAGGCTGGCCTCGAACTCACAGAGATCCACCTGCCTATGCCTCCATAAGACCTCACCACATAGTTCACGTTGGCCTTGCAATTGAGACCCTCCTGCCTCAGCCTCACCATTGCCGGGATTAAAGGCGTGCACCACCACCACCCGGCTCACTGAGTCTTTAAGTTCTCTAAAACACTCGGGCCAGTGACATGGCTCAGCAGATAAAGGCACTTGTCATGCAAGCCTGGTGACCTGAGTTTGATGCCCAGAATCCACATAATAGTGGAAGGAGAGAATTCTCTCACCCCTTATCCCACATATAGAGTAAAAAATGTTAATCTTGGATCTGGGTGGAACATGTGTCCCTTGGAGAAATAAATGACCCAATAGCAAGTTGGGTAAGATGGGATGGTAGTAGAAGGGAGACTGTTATTAGATGGAGTTGGGGAGGGGAAGCCACCAACGGTGTATGGATTTCCTTTGTAAAGGTTAAACCAATGGATCTACCTAGACTATGAAGAAATCAAGCTGAGATAAGTGGGATTGGGACGCATGATGTGAAATCTGCAAAGAATCAATAAAGGTTGCTTACCGAGAAAACAGAAAAAAGGAAAAAAGAAATCAAGCTGACCTTGCCTAAGGAGATCTGGATGGCACTGCAAAAAAGAAAGCAGAGTCCCCCAGAAGAACTCAGCACATGTACTCAGCCCGCAAACACCATCTCAACACTTCCAAGCCCACTTTCCACAAGTGAAATCACCAGGCACAGTGGCCATTGCAATCCCAACCCTGGGGAGGTAGAGGCAGGAGAATCAAAAGTTCAAAGTCATTCTCGTTGAGTTTAGACTGTCTCAAAAACAAAAGCACCAAAACCAAAACAAATCAAAAAACCCAAACAACAACAAAAACAATGAGGACAAGTGATTGGACTACAAAGAAAACTGCCTCTCAAGTTTGTTCAGTCAGAGAGCAGGAGGAACAGACATTGTAAAGCTGGGGTTCCCCTCACTTACTTATTAGTCACAGTATGCCTGAGTCCCTGAAGTCCTCGGGACCACCTACCCACAGATCTTATTAGCTGGCCTTGAAGACTCCTTTACACTTAAAATGAAGATCTTGGCTATTTTATGAAACACCAGTTATTAGCTCTGAACTTTTAAATATAAACATAATCGCTGATCTTATTATTTTATTTGTTTTATGTTGCTAAGCATAAAAATGCCCATAGACTCACCTTTCCAATTTTTGCTGCAGAACCTGTATTTCCTCCTTCAACTTTCGAACACTCTCTCTCTTACTTCGAATAAGCTCTTTGCTCTTGTACATGTACCTAAGCAAACGATAACCCATGGATAGAAATATTAGCAAATACTAATGACAAAATCTCAGTGAAGATGACTTACTTCCTCAAAACATGCAGTTATAGAATAACCAATAATATATATTGTTTTTACTTTGGTTTTTGGCTTGAGACAGAATCTCATAGCTCAGACTGACCTCCAACTCCTTCTGTAGCTAAGGATGACCTTCAATTTCTGGTCTTTCATGGTCTAGTGCTAAGTTACAGTGATATGCCACCAAACCTAGCTTAACACATTGTTGTTAATCAAACCCAGTGCTACACTACCAGTTCCAAGGACAGCAATGAGGCAAGGATGCCCACTCTTACCACTGTTACGAAATGCTTTACTAAAGGTGAAGCCAGTGTAGTAAGGTAAGACAAGAGGTACAGAGATAGTACAGGAAGCAGAGCTGTTCTCCAGCTGTGGATCACAGCAGAATCACTGAGCGTTAGCACAGCCAGAAGATATGGTGTCACTTCAGTAACCAATACAACCAACTTTATTTCTATATGCTCAGAGAGAACAGAGTAAAATTTCAAAAACTCATAATATCAAAGGGATGATTTACTTAATGATGAATTTAATCATACATATCGAAGGGCTGCACGCCATTAAGAAACCACTGACTTACATGTGCAACACAATCCAACCAATGAGAATCCCTTAGCTGTCAGAAACTGGCAAGTCAGTAAAATTTCTATGGAAATGGAAGAAGCCAAAAAGCCAAAACAATTTTGAGGCTGAAACCACTGACAGTGTACGGATTCTTTTTCATACTAAACCAATAAAAAATGCCTAAAGTTCCAGGGTGTGTGGGATGAGATCTGAGATCAATCTGTTCCATGCTAATAATGGGTTTGTATTCATTCTCTTTCTCTACCCACAAGTGGGTCCTTATTAGAAAAGCTTCAAAAAAATCCATTTTCCACATGGTGGCTGGAGAGTGATGGCGACATTTTATGTCAAAGCTAAAGGATGTTATGCTCCCCAATTTGGCTGTAAAACAGAAACCTAAGCATAATTAGAAACTTAGTTGAGTTGGGCTGTGGTAGCATAAGCATTTAATCTCTATGGGTTCAAGGCCAGCCTGGTTTACAGAAAGAGTTTCAGGATAGCCAGAGCTACACAGAGAGACTCTGTCTCAAAAAAAAAAAAAAAAAAAAAAAATAACCAACCCTTTAGCTGATATTCCTGTGGGTTTGTCTAACCTTGATAATGTAAGCAAGCACCTGCTTTGCATTCTTTACTCATATTGGTTTACAGCATCCATGGAAACAAGATATATGTTTTGAGCCCAGACTTATGCCTAGCTATTCAGTCACATTACCCTAGAAGATTCTCGGAAATACAAACTCAAATGCAGATTCATAGTCTAAATGTGTACATTATCCAGATGTCCAGGAGATCTCCATACACAAATACATAGCCCACAGCCATTTCTACTTTTGCAATTAACATCACAAAGTCAATTGAACCAAGACTCACCTATCCATATAAATAATCTGAGGAAATTCCAGCTTATTATGAATTTTCTCTGGCTGCCCAAGAGATTGATTAAACTCAAATCTGGAGAGTTCAAATGTCAACACTGGAGGTAGTTTGGTAAACCAACGCTATGTTCAAGGTAGAAACATGGGAAAAGGGAAAATTAATTTCAGGAAATAACAGCCATATTTAAAATATCCTTCACCAAACTTTTGATACAGAATTTAATTAATAATATATAGCATTTTATCTCACATACTAACCTTAAATACTTAAAATCATACTTGGAGAATATGGTTAAGCATTCCTTGGCCTCCAAATTTACTACCTAGCCACGAGTATTGCATTCAACCATTATCCTTAGAAATAACCACTGTGGAATAGAAGAACTGACCAAGCACCAACACAAATCATTCTATAAACATTCAAGACATTCAGATCTGACAGGAAACAGACAGCCTAACCAAAGAGCTGGAAACTACAATCCCAACAGCACATAATTAAGAGATAACTGCATCCAATAATCATCTAAATAAAACAAATACTGAAATATATCATATACTATTTATTTACAGCTAACTACAGTTTAAATCCTGTTTATGTATAAAAGGGAAATTTGAATTAGTCTCAGGATGTTGTAATTCCTTGTATTTCTAAGGAAAACAATCTGATCTCCAGTATACAGATCTCTGAGAAGAAAGTCAAGTGAGCCTACAATAATACCCAGAGTTTCAGATTAGCAAACAACTGGCTTCCTAAAATGAAAAGAACCCATTTCAACACACTGACCACAGCTGAGAAGAACTGCTCCAGTCTACCCACATGCCAGAGGTTCCTAGGGGGCTTTAAGCACTCTTCTACCAGGGTTCAGGGGTCCCTCCAGGGACCCTGCTGGCACCAGGTGAATAGATTGAAAACCTCACAGCTCAATCTTTCATCTTCTTTCTTTATTCTTGAGACAGAGTCTCACTCTGTAGCTTGGGTAACCTTTAACTCACTAAGCAGCCAAGGCTGGTCTTGAACTTGCAACAATCCTCCTGATTAATCAGTCTCTTAAGTGATAAAATTATAAGCACAAACCACCTTGACTGGCTCTTCAGAATTAAATCTAATTAAGCATAATGATTTCTGCTAAGGTTTTATTTTTGCAGAATTTTCATCCTTGGATACTGCACAAGTAGTAAATATTAACTCGTAAGAGAACACAAAAACTGGCACACATGGTACGGCTCTTGCTAGGAACTGCCAAGAATCCATTCTTTCCTGGAGAAGCCGAGGAGAAACCTCTCCAGATCCCAGCACCTTCTAGAACTAACACACCTCCACAAGTCCGTGTCACGTACCCTACTTTAGTTCAAGCCAATTTCTCCTTTTGTAATTGCGTTGGACAGTTCCACAGGCCACAATTTTGCCTCAAAATATAAGAGAGGGGAGTAAACCAAATGAGGCAATACTGACAATTATGCTACAATGCTGTTCACTACTTCCTGCCTAACTGGATGAATTACTAACTATCCTACCTGGGTATTAGTTACCCATGTGTTAACCACTTCCAACCCATCAAAAAACAAGAATCCCGCATAAATAAATGAAAATTATATTTTAAAAATGTAAAAGCAAAAGAATTTACAACTGAGAACAATAAATACTGTAATAGGGAAAATATTCTAAATGGCATACCATAGGAGTTAATCACTTTTACCCTCCGAAAATATGGAGGCATTGCGTTCTCCCTACTCAGGTACAGGTAGGCTTCAACAGAAAGAGAGAAACTTGATCATACTGAAATATCAGAAGCAGCATAAACCTTTACATGAGTAACTCAAATTCAGTTTTAGCAAAGAACTTTATCACTGATTCAAATCAACTGATGAGAGAGAGAAGACAGATTCAAGTTCTGTTCAGTGTGTGATTATCTAACTTGTAATTCGAACCTCTTTCCCTAAAAGTTCAATCCTACTTTAGTGGCTTTGTCACTGGCAGAACAAGCAAAGATATACACCTTACCTCTTGTCCATACTTCACTGAATGATCGGAAGGAAGCAGCGCAATGTCACCTTCCACCATGGCCCCTTCCAAGCATTCGTCTAAGTTGTGATAACCGTTTACCTGGAGAGGATACTGGCCGAAGGTCTCGTTGTTACAAAAGGGCTTTCCTAGGCAAAGAAGGGGAATGTTAAAGCGTCACCACACCATTTCAAGTCTACTTCTTTGGCTCCACTGAGACAGCACCTTCTATAATTCAGCAGTCTCCTGAGAACTGGTTAGAAAAAAAAAGTATTGAATGTTATAGGTAGAGCTTAAATTAAAGGACTGTTCTAGTAGGAGCCTAGAAGACAATAGTGCTGAGGGAGAGCAATAGGGACTATGGAGGCCTGGCTTGAGAGGCTTCAGAGGGAAGCCAGGACTGACAGCACCCTGAGGGGAAGCCAAGACTAACAGTTTCTTATTTTGTTTTCACAGAGGATGAGACCCTGTTCATTTCTTCTATTCCGATTTGGTATGATGGACCACGCCCCCCTGAAGGGTTGGTGTGAACACCTTCAGAATATTGCTTTGCTCAACTGCCAACTGAGATGAAACTAACACACAGGTTATACCATGAAAGACCTAATTAACGATGCCCCCATTCAGCAGGAAGCAGTTTGGAGAGAAAAAACTGCACCCATGCCGGGCGATGGTGGCACACGCCTTTAATCCCAGCACTTGGGAGGCAGAGGCAGGCGGATCTCTGTGAGTTCGAGGCCAGCCTGGTGACAAGAGCTAGTTCCAGGACAGGAACCAAAAGCTACGGAGAAACCCTGTCTCGAAAAATCAAAAAAAAAAAAAAAAAAAAAAAAAAAAAAAAAACTGCACCCATGTTCCCAAAATATTGTTTATAAATGTTCTTTTACATTTAAAGGGGGATATGATATAGGTATGAATAATTTGCATTGGTATGATTTTAAGGTCAATTTTGTTATATGTATATGTATTTTTGATCTTGAGTAAGGTGTGATTGTGTAGTTCATTTTTAAAATGTAATGTATAGTTAGGAAATATAGGTTGTTGATGGATAATCATCGATAATAGTAAAGCTTGTAGTCATGTTAGATTTTCTAGATATATAGAGATATATTTTAGATAGACATTCTTCATGTCTTTCAAAGATTACAGAATAGGATATTTAAAATATTTTAATAACTTAGGACTTTTCATGACAATGAGACACTCTGCTCCTGGCAGCACCAATCTACTTCAAGAGGAAGATGGGCATCAAAGAGGCTCGTCATGGAGTTTGATAGCCATTTGGGCAAGAAACTGCTCTTGCCTGGACTATTGCATAAACTGGAAACAGAGAACCCACAGAAAGAGGACTACTGAACTTGCCTAAGGTGAGATGATCTTTCGGGGTTCCTGATTCATGAAAGAGTCTGCGAGACATTCTGCAGGACACAACAGATAGTGACTGAATTGACTTTGAATTTTCCTGCTTTATGGAAATGTCTGCTGGATACCATGGGCCTGAAGGCTGAAGATGGATGCCCCAACGGTACAGAGGAACTTTGGGTGACTGTCCAGGTAGCGAGATGTCTCTGTCATTTCTAGAGTTTTAAAAGTTGCTTTTTTCTTGTTTGCTTAGGTAGTATTGTATCTTTCTGGAGTCTTTGATGGAGTTAAGAATAGTTAGTTATAGTTTTCCTTAGTCATGATAAAGATCATTGTAACTTTTACTTGATAACTGTTTTGTTATATGTAATTTTGCTATGTTAAAGTTAAAGCCTTTTTTTTGTTTAAACCGAAAAAGGGGAAATGATGGAGGAAGGTCATTGGCTAATAAAGGCACTGCCCTGGCCCATTTTATTGGTTAGAGGATAGGTGGGAGGAGTAAACAGTACAGAACGCTGGGAGGAAGAGGAAGTGAGGTCAGAGACACCACAGCTCTCCTCTCTGGAGCAGACGCCTGAGAGAGACGCCATGCCCCGCTCCCGGGATGAAGCTCCGACCCAGGATGGACATAGGCTAGAATCTCCCCGGTAAGCGCACCTTGGGGTGCTACACACAGATGATTAGAAATGGGCTAAATTAATATGTGAGAATTAGCCTAGAAGAGATTGGGCCAAGCAGTGTTTAAAAGAATACAGTTTGTGTGTTGTTATTTTGGGGCATAAGCTAGCCGAGCAGGCGGCCGGGGTGTTGGGGACGCAGCCCCACCGCTCTTATTACTTCATAATGGAATGATTTCTTTGGCAGAGGAAATTTCAAGACTGCAAAATGTTGAATTTATGGCATGTTTATTGTTAATGCTCGCATAGATCTACTGTCAAAAAGAACAAGCGGGGTAAAAAGAAAAACAAAATGTATAGTTTGGATAGTTATAGCCAAGGCACATACTGAAAGAAAGGCTGTAATTGTTAGATCATCAGTCTTTAAAGAGAGGCCTCTTCTGTGCTAGAACAAAGGGAGGGCAAGACCCTGCCCAGCAAGCTTCCAATTTGTAACAGAGAGCTCCCAGAAAGCAGCAAGAACAAACGCTGCTGCTACGGTGATTCAAGGAGTGAAGGGTCCATCCCAAGCCAGCAGCTGAACTAGGCGCTATCTGTATCCCAATGGTGCTGACTTGAGAGACACGAAGCCCTATAAAGCTGAAGTCCCAGGTACCAGACATTGAACTATAGGATTTGGGATTTGTCCTGATGGGTTTTGGTCTTGCTTTGATTTAGCATTTTCTCACTATGCCCCCATTCCTCCCTTCAGGTAAGAGAACATATATTCTGTACCATTATATGTTGAAAGTATATAATCTATCCTTTGATTTTATAAAGGGTTACAATTAAGAGATTCTCTGGAGTGTCAGAAGAGACCTTGGACTTTTAAATAGTGTTGAAGACTATGAAAGACCATAGAAGACTTTTGAAGTTACACTAAATTCATTTTGCATTATGATATGGCCAGGAGCCCTTGGGGTCCAGGGAGCAGAATATAGTTCGAATTAAAAATGTCTCCCATAGGTTAAGTCATTTGGACACTTGGTCTCTAGTTAGTAGTGCTGTTTGGGGAGTCTGAGGAGGTAGCCTTGTTAAAGGAAGGATGTTGCTAGAGGTTGACTTTAAGAGTTCATAGCCTTTTCCCTGCTTCCAGTTTGCTTTGGCTGTTTCATACTTGCAGTTAAAGATGTAATCTCTTAGCTTCCTGCTGTCATGCTGCCCCCACTATTATGGAGTCTAATCCTCTATAACTATAAGCCAAACCAGAGTAATGCTAATCCATGGAGTACTAGGCTATATTTCTAATACTATCAGGAGCCAGGGGTATAGCAGTAAGAATGCAGCATGAATTCTGGGTTCAAGTCCCAGTACCAAACATAAACACAAACAATACATTTAAAAATAGCCCCAGTGGTGGTGCATGCTGGTAATCATATGGGAGGCTGATGCAGGAGGACTGGTGAGGATTTGAAGTCTCACCCTAGGCAAATGCAAATTTTAGGCTAGCCTACATTATGTGTGAGATTTCGTCTCAAGAAACAAAAAACAACAATCAAAAAACCCTCACAAGCTCTTAACAAACGACACCAAAACATCAAATAATAAAAATGCATAAAACGAGGGAGAAGAGCAGACAGAGGCTATACATAGAACAACTGGCTGTGGGTTCACAAGCTGTTGAGTTCACAGAGGTTTTGATATCATTCTATTTGTACAAAGTCAAAATCCTAAAACAAACAAACAAAAAAGTAGCACCCCTGCCATCTACACAGAGGTCACACAATTTAATATAAAGTCTAGGACAAAGACTGTGCCCGCTGCACAGATGAGACTAAGGATGCTGGAGCTCACAGACTATGTGCTCAAAGTCACACAGACAAAAGCCAGAGTCAGTGCCAGTCCAGGATTTGTTGGACTTTTAAGGCTACTATGTCTGCCTGAAAGTTCACAGCAGTGAGGAACAGTAACAGCTAGGAACCAACACACAGGACAGACTTTACCTTCTCGAACCCCTTCCGTCAGGAAAGTACCATAGAACAGCTGCACCATGGGATTTTCAGGCTTATTCCTGGGATTGCTGCTATTTTAAAAGAGAGATAGACAATTCTGTGTCAGTTGGATCAAATACGTTCTCATAAAACCCAAGTGCATTCAAAACCAACAGTAGTCCATTTTCATTAACCACAGACTGCCATACGGCATTTAAGGAAGCAAGGACTGACTTAGTTCAGCACAGACACTGACTGAAACAAAGATACCTGGCATTGTGCTGGAGATGCAAAGTGTGAACCCTGACCTCGGGGATATTAGTCTTTAGGATGTTAGGGAGTCACACACGGTGACAAATGTATTCATATGTATGTGTGTGTGTGTATACATTTGTTATAGACACCTATGTCTGTTGACAGGTATATACAAAAGGTAGAGAATAGCAGAACAGTAAGAATGAACCACACCCCCCCACACCAAGAGTTTTACAAATAAAGTTTTCTCAGTGGCACAACAGAATTAGGGTGCAAATTTTCTTTTCCTAAAGCCTGTTTTACATTGTAGTTAACTCTGTAAGTTCCCAGTTGCAAACTATTTCATGGTACTTTACTCTCCAACCTCAGATTTAAACCTACATAGAAAAGCAGGTTCCTGGCAGCCACAATAGGATGATACATGCATGTCCTTGTGGCCCTGGCTGGGGTGATTGATCCCTATCCTTCGTGAATGCTAAGCAGATGCCACAGGTGAGTGACATCAAATATAATGGTTTCATATCATACACCACATCCACATCTAGGACTCATTTACCAGCTTTTAATCACATCTTACAACCAAGCAGTTAGTTGGGGCTTATTCTTTCACAAGAGAAAAAAAAAGGCTGCAGGTTAAGGGGACAATCTAGCTCTCTAAAGGGAAAGCTAAAACAGGGCTACACAATGAGGAATAGTCCAGTGGCCACCAAGAGGTTTGGCAAACACCAATTTCTACTTGAGAAGAGTGACTTTCCCCCACCATAATTCTCAGTGGTAACTGTGAGTTGGAAGGATGTGCAGACAAACCCTCAACACTCACTTAACATTAACAGCTAGCTGGAACGCATCCTCCAGCCAATCCAGGAGCTTGTGTGTGAATTCACTCACATCTTGCTATAAGAGAGGCACAAATTGCAGTAAGTTAGATGCAATACTGTACTCAGGGAAACAAAGGTTTGCCCTTAAGCCCACAATTAAAGACTCTACTATGACACAATCTCCTTTTTGGGAACCAAACTTGCATAGACACAGGAATGGGAGCCAGCAACTAGAGACAAACTGCAGGGCATTGATGAGATCTGACCATGCTAGGCCAGGAAGGAGTGGAGCTCTGCAGAGCTGGCCACATCTCTGTGTGACAGAGACACAAGCACCAGCTCCAATTAGGCATTTTTAAAAAGGCCCAAAGAACAGACTAGAGTCCACAAGAATTCTATAAGAACTGATGGAGAAAGGCAATTTTACAAACTATTTTGAGAATGCTGGTTAGCTATGTAATGAAGAGCAGGTTTAACACTGCATGCAGAAAGAAGCTGGTGCAACAGCAACAGCTTTGAGTTTAATGGCAGGTGGAGAAAGGAAAGATCGCTCAGAAAAGCTGCTGAATTTAGGTGGTTTGAAAAAGAGGATTTCTATCCTGGAATGATGCTGCAAGCCTGTAATCCCACATTCAGGAGGCTGAGGCTGTAGGATGAGAAGTTCAAAGTTCAAAGTCCACCTGGGTTTAATATTGAGATTTGTCTCAAACTCCAAACCATATTAAGATTTCTACTAGGCAAAGGACTTGACTTTTCTCAATTATCCTTTGCTACAGCTCACTGAATTACTTTTCAAATTCCTTACTGCTTCAACAGCCTCTGTTAACTCTTTTTTTTTTTTTTTAAATCCTCCTGGTTATTGGAGACATCTTGTTAAGTAGCCCTAGATGGCTTGGCGTTCACTGTGTAGACCAAGTTAGCTGTCAATGTGCAGTAATCTCCTCCTGCCTTTGATGCCTGTATACGGGATTAAGGCATGAGCTATCATGCCGGGTGAGGCTGCTACTCTGTCTACCACCACATCTTCTTCCTTTGGTAGTACAAGCACCTTGTATAATTCTCATTCGTGCACATGGACTGCCAGAACCCCGTGTGACCTCTCACTCATGCACACAGACACATAGCATGTACTCTCCCTCACTACACCTCTGAAAGTAAAATAAAGGGTAAATGAAGGTACTCAGCATCCTGTCTAGCTTTGTTCAGAGCTTGTCAAACAATAGCAATGAAAACAGCAGTATCACATTAACAAAGGTGATTTCATATACTCAATCCTGAAATAAAACAAGAGAAGAAACAAAGCCCCCAAGTACCTGCTGCTCCTCTGATGACCGGAAGGCTCCCTTCAGTAGATCCAGGGCTGCAGAAGGATCTACAAATTTTCGATTTGATCCCAACAGTAAAGCAAATAAATACTGAAGCTCTTGCATAAACATGATATTTCTCTTTTCCTATAAAAAACACAGCCAACTTATAAGATCTTATTTAGAAAGTTTGAACAGATAAAGAGAAAAGTTATCAGTAACTATTCTCTAATTCACATTTACCAAGCTCTACAATCAGTCAGAATAACCTAGCAAATAGGAGCCAGATAAAAACAGCAAGGTGTTATTCTAGAACAAAGAGTAAGAATCTAGGGGCCAGGGGCCATGCTATGGAAAAGACAGATGCTCTCTTACTGGAGCTGCCCACGCCGTAGGAGAATGCACTACAGCACGGTGACGAGAGTATGCAGTCAGAGTGCACCCTGATGTCTCTAAGAAGGTCCAGGCTTCTTCCCCAGGATGCTCTGCATCCCTTGACCTCAGCAACCAATGGCATAAGAGAGGACACCAACTGAATCAGAGGTTCTGAGTGTGCCCACGCAGCACAGCACTCAGGTCAGAATGGTGTCTCACTGCTGTTGAGACTGTTTTCCTAATTTTATTCCTACTTAACTGGACATCTCCATAAGTCCTTACTTCTTATCCAAAAGAGGGAGGAGAGTGCCTAACAATGTAACAAGTATCAGCACAAGCCAAAGCCCATCCCAGCACATCTGATCCAGCAACATACAAACTTTGCCTCCGTGCCAACTTACGGTGTGACTTCGACAGTTTTCAAGTACGTTCTGTGGTAGACTATAGCTGAGAACAAGTCTTCGGAACTCAGGCAACTGAAAGAGAGACTGAGAGAAAGAAATTCATTCTCAGCCACTTTCATTTTTAAAGATTTATTAATTATGTATACATATTCTGTCTACATAAACACAAATAATATCAGAAATATACTCTTTGTGTGTGATAGACGCTGGGCATGGAAACTTGGGCCTATAATCTCAGCATCCAGGACTCTAAATCAGAAGGCCTGCCTCATGTTCAAAGCTAGCTACAGTGAGTTTCAGGGACAGCCTTGGCTGCTTAGCAAAATTCTGCCTCAATCAATCAATGTAGCTAGAAGTATTCTCCATCCCACTGGTCCCTCTGGATCAGTTTTTCTCTGCTTGCCTGTTCCCGAAGTCCCCTATGAAATAACTACTCTGAGGCCTATTATCAGTTACAATTATTTGGCAATGTCTTCTTACTGGCGAGCTCTAATGCCTAAATCAACCCATTTCTATTAATCTGTGTATTGCCACAAGGCTGTGGCTTACCAGCGTGGCACTAAGTGACTCCACCTATTCTTCCTCTTTATTTCTGTTCAGATTCCTGCCTGGCTTTACTCTGCTAAGCCATTAGCCAAAACAGCTTCATTCAGTAACTAATAAAAACAAATACAGAAGGACATCCCACATCCTCTCCCTTTTTGTTACAGAGGTGTATAGTTCCATTTGTTAAATTAAAAAAAATAAAACAAATACCTTGCTTAAGGTATACACATGTATGATTAGGTCTGTGGGGGCACAGGTAATGGCAGACAGGACTCAACAGCACAAGGATTTTATAATATTCATTATAAAAAAGACCTGCACATGTGTTGTGTGTCCCAGTGCACACTCAGGGGCCATTAAAAGTATTAGATGTCCTTTTCCATTATCCTCTACATATTCCCTAGACTCAGGGGCTCTCCTGGAACCTCACATGGTTTCTAAGCCCCATGATCTACAATCTCCACCCACTTGAAGCTGGGGTTATAGGCATGTGCTGGATGTCTTGTCTTGCCTGTTACAAGGAATCCAAACTTTGGTGCTCGTAATTGTACAGTAAGGTGTATTTAACTGCTGAGTCCCTGTAATACTCACTTATTATCTGAGTTGTAAACACAGCAGTTTTATTCTGTCGTGTGTGTGTGTGTTCATTTTAAAAAGGATCATTACTGTTGTAATAGGAGCGGCGGGGCTGCGTCCCCAGCATCCTGGCCGCCTGGCTAGCTTATGCCCCGAAATAATTACACACAAACTGTATTCTTTTAAACACTGCTTGGCCCATTATATCTATCCTCTTCTCGGCTAACTCTTGCACCTGGACTAGCCCATTTCTAATAATCTGTGTAGCATCAGTCTTACCGGGAAAGATTTTAGCCTACGTCCATCCTGGGTCGGAGCTTCATCGCGTGTGCCTCAGAGAGCAGAGCTCTCGTGTCCGCCCTGGAGAGGGGAGCATGGCGTCCCTCTGAGCTCACTTCCTCTTCCTCCCAGCATTCTGTTCTGTTTACTCCTCCCACCTATGTTTTAACCTATCAGGGCCAAGCAGTTTCTTTATTGCTTAACCAATGAAATCAACAGATTGATATATGACACTCCCACATCACTTCCCCTTTTTCTGTTTAAACAAAAAAAAAAGGAATGCTTTACCTTTAACATAGCAAAATTACATATAACAAAACAGTTATCAAGTAAAAATTACAATATTTACATCTATTTTATCTTTATCATAACTAAGGAAAACTACAACTATAACTAACTATTCTTCAACTCCATCAAAGACTCCAGAAGGATACACTATTACCTAAGCAAACAAGAAATAAGCAACTTTCAAACTCTAGAAATGACAGAGACATCTCGCTGCCTGGACAGTCACCCAAAGTCTCTCTTTACCGTTGGGGCATCCATCTTCAGCCTACAGGCCCATAGTTTCCAGCAGACATTTCCATGAAGCAGGAAATTTCAAAGGCAGTCACTATCTGCTTGTCCTGAAGAATGTCTTGCAGACTCTTTCATGAATCAGGAACCCCGAAAGATCATCTCACCTTTAGGCAAGTTCAGTAGTCCTCTCTATGCAGGTTCTCTGTGTCCAGTTTAGGCAATAGTCCAGGCAAGAGCAGTTTTCTTGCCCGAATGGCTATTAAACTCCATAAGGATCCTCTTCGATGCCCATCTTCTTCTTGAAGTAGATTAGTGCTGCCAGGAGCAGAGTGTCTCATTGTCATGGAAAAACCCTAAGTTATTAAAACATTTAAAATGCCATATTCTATAATCTTTGAAAGATATGAAGAATGCCTATCTAAAATATATCTATGCACATCTATAAAATCTTAACTAACATGACTACAAACTTGACTATTATGATTATCTATTAACAATCTATATACATTACATTTTTAAGTGAACTACACAATCACAATACCTTAATCAATATCAGAAATACATATACATATAACAAAATTGACCTTAAATCTCTATCAATAAAGCAAAATCTATACTAATGCAAATTATTCATACCTATATCATATCCCCCTTTAAATGTAAAAGAACATTTATAAACCATATTTGGGAACATGGGCGCAGTTTTTTCTCTCCAAACTGCGTCCTGCTGTATAGGGGCGTCGTTAATTGGGTCTTTCATGGTATAACCTGTGTGCCAGGGTCATCTCAGTTGGCAGTTGAGTGAAGTAATTTCTTGAAGGTGTTCACAGCAACCCTTCGGGAGGGCGTGGTCCATCATACCATATTGGGATAGAAGCAATCCACAGACTCTCACCCTCTGTGAAAGCAAAATAAGAAACTCCTTTCCAAAGCATCATGTCCTTAGATCCAAATTTCAAATTCAAGGCATTTTCAAAATATCTATGTTGGATTAGTTCAGCAGCATTTATAAACATATATCTTTTAGCAGTTGTTGCTCCTTCCTCAGCAAACAATTCAAAGAGAGCATAATAGCATACAGTATCAAAATTCTCTGTTTATTTTCCATCTTTGTACGGCTTTATTTTTTTTAACTCTATTTTGTTGATTTTTACTTTTATTTTATATTCTCTGTATATCTTTGTCCTGGAATAACTTTGGAGACCAGGCTGTCCTTGAACTCTCAGAGATCCGCCTGTCTCTGCCTCCCAGGCATTGGGATTAAAGGAGTATGCCACTATACCTTGAACTCACAGAGATCTATTTGTCTCTGCCTTCTAGGCACTGGGATTAAAGGTGTGTGCTATCACACCTTCAAGTCACAGAGGTCAATCTCCCTCTGCCTCCCAAGTGTTGGGATTAAAGGTGTGTACTACCACACCCAACTACCCTCTTTCTTCCTTTTTTTACTTTTAAGAACTTTTAACTTTTAGCTTGCATATATTTTTAACACACTGAAAACCATTTAGAAATTTTCTTTGTCTTTGAACCTCTCTTTACTGTATATCTCTCTTTTTCTGACCACATGAGTCTTTAATTTACCAAGCATTATCAGTAGGACTAAAGCTGTTGCTTTGGCTGCGGGATCCAGCCCATTCCTTAGCTTTTCAGCCTCATAGCGAGATACAGGCTGTCACCATGTTTATCGCCACAACTCTATGGCATTTCAAGGTCCCTGCCAGCAAGCGAGCTTCAGCAGCCTGTGCTTGCAAACTGCACGAACTGCCTGTGTAAAAGAGTCAGAGTTTGCCCTGGCAGGACAGCCCAGAAAGCCGGCATTTTTAAACGGCGCAGCTTTTTTCCTGCTACGGCTGAACACCAAAAGCATGCGTTCAGCTTTTCGTCAATACTGTTTAAGTGTTTCGTGGCAGGGTTTTGCAGCTGAAGCTGAGTCAGAAAGCCTCTCTTAGATGAGAGCGCTTGCTTGCCTCTAGCAAGCAGAGTAGAACCGAGAAATTGCAGCTACCAAGAAAACATGCTTTACTCTTTTCCAAGCTTTCTCAGGCTTTCGGTGGATTCAGTTGTCCACACGTCTGGGCAACAATCTGTTGAAATATGAGCGGTGGGGCTGCGTCCCCAGCACCCCAGCCACCTGCTAGCTTATGCCCCGAAATAATTACACACAAACTGTATTCTTTTAAACACTGCTTGGCCCATTATATCTATCCTCTTCTCGGCTAACTCTTGCACCTGGACTAGCCCATTTCTAATAATCTGTGTAGCATCAGTCTTACCGGGAAAGATTTTAGCCTACGTCCATCCTGGGTCGGAGCTTCATCGCGTGTGCCTCAGAGAGCAGAGCTCTCGTGTCCGCCCTGGAGAGGGGAGCATGGCATCTCTCTGAGCTCACTTCCTCTTCCTCCCAGCATTCTGTTCTGTTTACTCCTCCCACCTATGTTTTAACCTATCAGGGCCAAGCAGTTTCTTTATTGCTTAACCAATGAAATCAACAGATTGATATATGACACTCCCACATCACACTACATAGTTCAGGCTAGTCTCAGACTCTTGAGCCTTCCACTTTAACTTCCCGAGTCCTGGAACTGCAGGTGTGTACCCATACATGGCTCTCAGTTACCCACCTTAAACGTCAAACTGGCCCTCTATTCTTTCATTTCATACCTCAATAACCCAAAGGTCAGGGCCAGACTGTGGTCTTTCCAACTTTAGAATGTTTACATAAATGCTGTCAGCTGAATGCCCCTAATTCCAAAGTCTGAAATTCTCAAGTTTTGGGGATTTTGAATATGCTATCCTGTTAGTCAACTGGTTTTCCTATAACCTTCAACAACTATTACAAAATCCATCTGTCCTTTCACCAACTTTTCAAAAGAAAAAAAATGGCTGAAAGCAGTGTATAAGGAAAACATAAGCCTGTTCAATATCTCTTACCCAAGTAACAGTTAAGGGCATCATGAATTCAGTGTGTTTCTGTCTCCACACACACATACATAAGACAGATGTAGGAAGTAACTGACTGCTCACAGAGTCCTAGTTCTACCTTCCTACATCTTTTAACTTTTTTCTTATTTTTTATGACAGGGTCTCACAGGTCTTGGCTGATATGGAATGCACTATGAAGCCCAGGCAACCTTCTTGCCTCAGCTTCAAAAGTGCTGATTACAGATTCGTGCCACCCTGCCTGTTTTGCTCCGTACTACATACACTTTGCTTTTCATTTTTTTTTTAACTTTATTTTATGTGCATTGGTGTGAAGGTGTCAGATCCCCTGCAACTGGATGGATCTTCAGACAGTTAGTTGTGAGTTGCCATGTGGGTGCTGGGAATTGAACCCAGGTCCTCTGGAAAAGCAGTCAGTGCTCTTAACCACTGAGCCATCCCTCCAGACCCCTTTGCTTTTCATTTTAAGTATGTATTTACTGAGGGCTGGGGAAGCAGCACGCACACATCAGGTAATGTGTAAAGTCAGAGGACTAACTTGCAGGAGTCAGTTCTCCCCAACACCTATCCCATTCTCTATTCTTACCCAGTCAGTTCTAGCAGATTTCTTTCTCACATGGGTTATATATTTTCTAATTTTTACTCACAAATGTTCTGTATGTAACTATATGACCCAAGCCCTAGTCACCTTCACGTCCCTCCTTACTGGTCAAGCCATCACTGACTGACCCACAGAAGCAGCAGCCCCTTCTCCCACCTCCTTCACAATGCCTTTGTAGCACTTATCACTACCTGATTCTGTTGACTGACCACTCCACTGTTTTAAAGTAGATTTCAGGAGAATATGGGCTTTGTTTTAGTCACTGTTGTTTCCTGGGTCCTAATCAGAGTCAGGCACAGAGTAAACTGAGTGTACTTGAAGTGTTTTGGCTTTTGAGCAGCGGGTTGGATGCCCACAGAACCATTTAATAGACACGCCTGGGGGGCTGGAGAGATGGCTCAGTGGTTAAGAGCATTGCCTGCTCTTCCAAAGGTCCTGAGTTCAATTCCCAGAAACCACATGGTGGCTCACAACCATCTTTAAAGAGGTCTGGCGCCCTCTTCTGGCCTTCAGGCATGTACAGAGACAGAATATTGTATACATAATAAATAAACAAATAAATAAAAAAAAAATAGACACGCCTGCAGGGACGGAGAGGGAGCGACACTGGCCACATGAAGCTTATGATGCCTGGAAAATACTTTTTTTTAAAAGTGTATTTTGTTTTATATGCATTAGTGTCTTGCTTGCACATAATATATATGTGCACCACATGTATGCTTGATACCCATGGAGTTCAGAAGAGGTACTGCATCCCCTGCAACTGGAGATAGGGATGGTTATGAGTCACCATGAAGGTACTGGAAACCAAACCCAAGGTCCTCTGCAAGACTAACAAGTGCTTCTAACTGCAGCCCTGGGAAATATTTCTTGATAGCCACTTCTCTCTAAGGAAAGCCACCCACCTGCTTGGCTTTACTTTGACTCTTTTCTGAACTAGAAATGCATATAGTTAACTCCCATATAATGTCTCATACAAGTGTAAAACATAAGCATCTTGAACTCAGCATAGCTACAGCCTTATTGGCAATTTCTGGCACACACAAATTATTCCTCTTGAGATACTCCAGATGGACCTTGCAGTCTTTCTCATTTCTCTCTTGCAGGTATCATTCATCAAGTCCTATAGATTTCACTCACTCCAAGAGTGTTTCCACAGAGTTGAGGATGTGGCTCGGTGACTAAGAGTTCTTGTCTAGCACACACAACACCCTGGAGTAGATGGGTGGATGTGTGTGTGTCCTTATATTGAATTCATGCATATAGCCTGCATAGTGGTACATTGCTATAATAGTGGTGCATACCTATAATCTCAGCACTTGGGAGGAATAGGCAAAAGAATCACAAATTTGAGGCCAGCCTGGGCTACATAATGAAAGAGAGTATTTTTACTTCTCTCTTTCCAGGATACCTTATCTGCCATGCCTCTACTCCAAGCTACCCTGAACAGTATTCATTGTTGACCCTAAACGTTTAATATATTTATATTTCAGTACTTCCCAGTTTAGACACCATAAATTATCAATCCAAAACATACAAAAGTAAGTATAGTGTGTCCTTACATGCACATGCCGAGTAGATATCAGACAACTTGCAGGAGTTGGTTCATTTCTCCCACCAAGTGGGGCCTTGATCAAACTCATTGTCTCTGGGCTTCCAGCAAGTGCCTCTACCCAGTGAACTATTTAGCTACCCTTGTTTTCACTTTCAGAAGTCAACTTCACATCTCTCATTTTAGCTAATTAAGTTATATCCAGAAGAAAACAGCTGTCTCTTAAAAACACCATACCTGAATAACAGCACTGAACCAGCATGTGTTGCCAACATTTTTCAGCCCAACTGGCCAACCATCCACTCTCCTCCAGTTATTGGGATTATGGTTTTCTCCCCAAACTTCACAGCGTTTTCGCTTTGAGCGCTTAGTTTCTGCAGAGTTTGCCTCATGCATTCTGTAGCATGCATATCAAAAACACCACATATCAAAAGAAAAAGAAAAGCAGTTTAAAGAATTATTTACTATACACAGGATGCTGGCAATTTTGCACAGATGATTCAAATATCAGAATAATCATTCACTGGACAATCATTGGCTACAAAACAGTTCTACAGCTATATGTAAGTGAAAATTGAGTTTTATACACAAATTTAAGCCTTCCATAACAGGTACTATTTCTAGTCAGGCCCACAATGAAAATGAGTTGAGATTCAAGGCTATTCACACCCACCACATTGAAGGTTTTCACTCAACCATGCTATCCTATCAAAGGGCTTGTCAGTGAAAGGGGGAAATGAGGCACTATGCAAAAGCTAGGAGCCTCCAAACTGCCTCGCACAAAATTCTCTATTCTATGTTTCTCTGAAAAAGAAACTCAAGAGGTGTTAGGAGACAAGTACAGAAATCAAAAGAAGCCACAGCTGGAAGTGGATGTCTGTGAACTACACAAGTACCACATTAGTACCAAATTCTAACATCATACATAACTGGAATCCCAGCACTCTGGAGGGTGAGGAAGAAGGGTCTCAAGTTCCAGGCCACTCTGAGACACCGCCCCCCAAGAAAGAAAGAGAGAGAGAGAGACAGAGAGACAGAGACAGACAGAGAGACAGACAGACGGGTAAAAGGGGGGGGGGATGAATAATAAGCTAAAATTGCTCCTTAAAGAAACTTTATCTTAGTGCAATAAAGGAACAGAATGAACTCTGAGTAGCTTTCCAAGAACAAAAAACAAAGTAACCACAGGGAACAAAGATCACAAATTAAAGCAACAACCTATTAAGATCTCTGCCATCAGTTTGAATCTTAGGAGACTCCAGTAGACTCAATGCAATGGCTGCCTGAAGGTCATCTTTGTTGTCATGAGTAAGGTCTATCACTTCTGTTAGGAAATAGAAATGTGATTAGTTTGTGTGCAGAAAGAAAAGGTAAAAATATTTTCTAAACCATATCCAATCCCTAGTTCTCACCACAGAGGCTCCTCTGTACACAATCCTGAAATTGTCTCTAAGTCAAATGAACAACTTATCGCTGTATTGTAATCTTGTCCTCCCTAACAGTTCAGAAGCAAGCTACTAACCTACAGTGCACCAGAGGCTAGGGGAGATGGATCACTGCTTAGTGCTTGCTGCTTAAGTATAAAAATCCGAGTTCAGATTCCAGTATCCAGGGAAAAGGATACACATGCTAATAAGCACATGCCTATAATCTCAGCCCTGGGAGGCAAAGAAAGTAAAATTCCAAAAGGACTTGGTGAGGTCAAGTCCAGTGAGCAGTCCTGTCTCAAAAACTAAGTAAGGCAGAGGGGCTGGAGCTCAGCATTTAAGAGTACCTATTGCTCTTGCACAGGACCCAGCACCCACATGGTAGATTAAAACCATCTGTAACTTCAGTTTCAGGGATCCAACACCCTTTTTGGCATCTGAGGCAAGCATGTAATGCATTTATATAAACACAAGCAAAACACTCATATACATAAAAATAAACAGAATTTTAAAAATAAGTAAGATGGAATGTGATAAACAAAGACACCCGAAGCAAACCTCTGGCCTACACACACACACAGACATGCGCGCACACACACACAGACATGCACACACACACACTAAATTCATTAATATTCAATAAATCCAAAAATACATTCTGTATCTACAGGTTAATAACTTTTATCATTGTAAAACATGAGCTACATTTAAAATATCTTAGCAAAGGATAGTCAACTGCTTTCTATAGTGAGTAGAGGACGTTTTATGAAGTTGACCTATGACCTAGTATAGACATACTAAAACTAGTCAAGTAGAAAAAAACATTTACATCCAGCCCGGGCTACACAGTGAAATAGTAAGAAAGGAGGCATTTGAAAAGCTTGAACTCAGGCCTGGCTCTCAGCGACTCGTCAAAGGTCAGTGTGATGAATGAGGAACCACGGTGCTGTCAGAGAAGGATCACAACAGGCGAGACCTACTTGCTAACAGTTGTCTGCTGGTAGAGCTCCGTTCACCTTCGGACGACTCTGTGGCAGTCGTGTCGTGACTGGGCTCCTTAGCTCTTTGGTCAGTGAGAAGGCTGACAGCCTGGGTGATGTCACCATTACTGGCCTAAAAGGAAGAAAAATAATAAGTTCCAAAAGAAAAGTATCAAAGAATTAACAGTATGCAGTATCTGGTGTTAATCTTTTACTACTATGGCTGACACAATGAGTAAGCCTATGCATAGTGCTGGGGCAGACAGCAGAGTAAGAAAATGAAGGCAGGAAGCCTGATGCACCTGGAGGTGTAACAAGCCCTAGTGATAGGACAAGACTCGAGGCTCAGATTTTCACAACCTGAAAAGCAAACCACAGCCTTGTTGGATGGTGCAGTCATTGCTCCAGGAACCTAACTCCACAGACCAGTTAAGACACAGTGAGTCACAAAAGGGGACTGGGAGCCAACACAGGTGGTAAGTCAGCCTGGACAGTAAAGTCATGAGTAGCCACCGTATTTTATAAAGGTGACATATCTGTTTTGAACTTCTTATGAGAAAATATTCTAAAAGGTACAACACTAGAATGAAGACCCGAACCTTACATTCACTGCCTGCCCTCAACATTATCCAGTCACGGCCAGTCATGCTTAGCTACACTGCCTACACCTGCTGGCTAGGCTGAAACTAGGTGTGTTACCATTTCCTTGGGTAACATTAAGAATGTATCTTTACAGATTATAACCAACAATGCTCAAGAATAACACTGTCATGCCTGAAGAGCGGCCGATTTCTCTGCTGGAATATTCTTTGGTTTGAGGGTTGCATGCAAGATCCATATAAGGTCTATACAAAGGACATGGATGATGGATTCCCACTGGCTTTCCCAACTGTAAGTTCCCACCATCTTCTGGAAGTTTCTCTGTGGAGGAAACTAGCCTTATCTGACCTGCAGGACTCTTCCTGTGTTCTGGTCTGGTATAAAGATAGCCTGACCTGACACACCTATGAGGAAACTGTTTCAGATCCTGTCAGCTAAGCCGGGATGAGAAACCAACCTTTAATGCTTCATGAAGGAAGGAAGGGTCCTGGATGCCTGTGATTTCCCGCAGTTGATTTAACAGCATCTGGCAGCTCTGTTTTTGAAAAACAAAATCAGATATATATCAGTCAGAAAGCAGACCTGGGTACCTCTTGGACAAAGAAGCCCAAGACTTGCATTTGTCATTTTAAAGCAATGAAAAGGTCCATGTAGTAGGTTACTGATAGTCAGACACGCTCTAAAATGCAGAATCTGCATTCTGTCATAGGAAATACTTTGGGCAGTTACGAGAGAAATATGACTCAACAGAAAACTCCAAATACCTACGTCAGTTGTAACCGGTCAGCCTTAAGGAGCCTTGGGCTTTCCTCTCTGGACAGTGCTTCAGTAGGTCATAGGAGTCCAGGGAATCTGCATGGATGCGAGGATGAGCTTTTTTAAGCTTTACCGTGGATGCCATTTGTGTGTGTCATTTTTCACTGACAATAAGCTTCTAACTCTGTAATTAACAAATGGCTTGTACCACTAACTTAAAAAGGAAGCACAGCTAAAGCTAGTACTTTCTGAATTATCAAATAAGGCATAGAGTTCCAGAAGGATGAGCTATGGAATGAATGTTTCCATTAACCTGGACCATGGAAAAACCTAACATCAGCTACACAGATAATCCTAAAACCCTTTTTCAGCCTTAAGTGTTCACCCTACCATCCTGTTTATACAACCTATAGACAAGGACGGCTCAGCTGAAACAACTGGTCGGTCAACACGAGACACAACAGTCTTTTAGCCAACACTGAAACAAAATAGTTATAGATTATTCCAGTAAGCAACAATTTATTCCATACTAAAACTGTGCCAGGATTAAGTCCTGACTCAACACTGCAGGCTTTACCATTAAGTTCAGTCAGTAATGGCTGAGAGACAGCCTCCATTTACCATTCACTGCCAGCTGTAACCGAAACCGTATCCTGAAGTCTCCAACAGCTGAGGGCCCGCTGGCAACACATAAGTGCCACAATCAGAAGCAACTGATTGAACAGCCCTCCCCAGGCCTGGAAAAGGGGTCAGAGCCTTTCTCTGGTCAGAAGCTGGAAAGGAATCGTCCCACTGAGACAGCTGTCTTCAATATTATGGGTCCTGATAATCCCAGTCACCAGAAATGGGCTGATTATCAGGCCAGAGGGGCTGAGATTTAGGTTTGGTAAAAAACAGAAAATGTAAGCTTTTTTTTTTTTTTTAAAAAAAAGGCATCAATATCCTTCCAGATAAATTATAATTCCATTTGATTTCACCACGCTAAAAAAAATTGACCATGTTAAAAAAATCTGGAGTCTACAAAATTTTCTGGAAAACCAAAATCAACATACCCCCAAAGTCATGAAGAATGGAGGGGACAAGAGGAGCCTGATAATATCAAACTAGAACAAAGGTGGAAATGACAGACAGACCCCAATAACCACAACGTCATCTGGAATTGCTCTGAATGTTATCAACCAGCTCGATACATAGACAAAGAAACAGTCCCAGCAAGAAATACTGACTATTGTGCACCACCTTCATAGAGCCCTGTGCTGTTCTCAACACCCAGCAAGCACCACATGATGCTGATTTCCCTCCCTTACTCTCCTAACAAACCGTGTAAGAAATAACGTACAAAGTGACTACTGAGGTGTGCTCACCACCAGCGCCTCTAAGGAGACAAAACACTGGAGCAAATGCCCTCTTTTTTTTTTTTTTTTGTTTTGTTTTTTCGAGACAGGGTTTCTTTGTAGCTTTGGAGCCTGTCCTGGAACTCCCTTTGTAGACCAGGCTGGCCTCGAACTCACAGAGATTCGCCTGCCTCTGGCTGGGATTAAATTAAAGGTGTGCGCCACCACCGCTCGGCTAGCAAATGCCCTCTTAATGCAAACTTCTTTCCTGGATTTTGACCTTGAACTTTGCATGGTAATAAACTTCTATTTTTAAATATTTGCCAGCCTTTATACTATCAGGAGCTGATTACTTAGAACAATGTGTTGTAAAAGACTATCATGGGGAAGTACGAGGGTCAATACTGCGTGTTTGAATGACTCAGAGGTGCCATCAGTTACTCGAAGAAAAATCTGCTACCACTGGAACTATGCCAGGGCCTAGTGACAGTCCCAGTCACTTACTCCATCCAGCCTCTTGCAGCTGAAATGTTCTCACTTATGCCGAGGAACCAGCAATTCCAGGTGCATTTCCTGGCATTCAACAGGCAATTCTTTTGCATGTTTCTCAGCAACAAAACTAAACATGGATGAATACACTCCTGGCACCTTTCTAGTTTCTGGAACATAAAGCATTTGATTGTAGTGTTGCATGAGAATTTCACACTGCAGGTTGCTCCTCCAGTGTTAAGTGCTTTGTCTCACAGGAAGTCGAACACACACTCCCTGGGCCTGCTTCCCACTTACTCCTTCACACACAAGTTTTGTTTGCTTTTCTTTTTTGTCTTTATGCTAAATCACAACGCAATCTTTTAAAAGTCATTTAAACACCTGGCAAATGACATGGGGAGCAACAGTGGGTGCAACTTGACTACTATTCCTAACAATCTGACAGTAGGATTGAGCCCAGAGCTTCATGAAAATTAGACAAGCATTCTACCAACCAAGGTTCATTGCCAGTCCCAGCATTATATATTAAGTGTTAATTTGTAAATGTTTTACTTTATGTGTACAGGTGTTTTGGCCTACATTTCTGGATGTCCATGCCTGGTGCCTAGGGAAGTCAGAAAGATTAGATCACTTGGAAATGGAGTTAAACAGTGTGAGCTTCTATTTGGTTCTGAAACTGAACCTGGGTCCTTTGAAAGAGAAGCCAGTGCTCTTAACCACTGAACCATCTCTCCAGTCCCTTGAATGTTAATTTTACAAGGGCAGGTGTGATGGCTTGTAACTCGAATCCCAGTACTTGGGAGACAGAGGCAGAAGATTTCTGCAAATTAGAAGACAGCAAAGCCTGTTTCAAAAACCAAAACAACAGGAAGAATTACAAAAGAAAGTTTACTTATGTATTTATTTGTTTGTTCTTCCTGACAGGGTTTCTCTGTATTTTGGCTATCCTGGAACTCACTCTGTAAACCAGGCTGTTCTCAAACTCAGAGATCCACCTGCCTCTGCCTCCTGAGCGCTGCTGGGACTAAAGGCGTGCGCCACCACCTCCAGCAAAAGAGTTTATTCTTACAAGGGCAAATCAAGTCATTAGGCTCCCACAGTACCTCCGCTCAGTCTCTCTGGAACTTCATAGGAAGTGGATTTCAATGTTAACTCAGTCCAACTACAGCACTCCACAGAAAGCACACACTCTCGTGCAGACAAGACAAAGCCTGTGCTCTGTCCTGATGAAATCAAATGATGACAAGAACCAACAGGCTCGCATTTCCTTGACTAAATTTGCACTGTTTTCACAAAGCATGCCTTCTCTTTTCCTGCCCAGAGGCAGTAACGAGAGACAGACCCAATCCATCTCCAAGACTAGCTGCCACCTAGGCTCAGCCACACGGTGACAGGAGAACCAACCAGAGATTTCTCTTACTCATTTTTAAAAATTTTCATACAATATGCTTTGATCATATTCTTTGCCCTCCCAGTTCCTCCCCACTTCCCTATCCACCCAACTAACTTCATATTCCCTGTCTCAAAAAAAGAAACAAAACAAAACAAAACCACCAAACCATAACAAAAGCAAGCACACAAACAAAACTAAAAAAAAAACAAAACAAGGAGTCCAGTTTGTGCTGGTCAACTACTCAGCAGCAAGGAGCCTATCCTGGAGTGTGGTTGATACACCCATGGTCACTCCACTGGAAAAAAACAGATTTTCCCTCTCCCAGAGGGTATAAATTACAAATAGCTTCTTGATTAGGGATGGGATTTTGCTGTCTTTTTGCCTCCTTTCTGGCCTAGATTTCCAGACCCTTGAGGGTATGGGGAAAGGGGTAGATTTCTCTTAATGCAAAAAACAACTCACTTCATGATACACAAAAAATAGGATTACAGGAATTAAACAAAACAAACCCCTAAATTATTGGTCCAGTAACAAGTAGTAATTGGCCTAATATGACTATAATTTAAAAAACCCCTCACCAAAAATGTAGTTATTAACTGTTGTGTTTGTGTTCATATGTCTAAGTGCCAGCACACACATGCATGCCACAGGAGTGGGGTCAACCTTGCTTGACGCAGGGTCTCCTTTTGGTTACCTGCCTTGCAACTTTTCAGGAACACTGGAATTACATACTCAAAACACTGTGTGTGGATCCTAAGTGTTCTACCCACTGAGCTATCTCCCCAACCCCTATTACATCCATCTGTTCAAACAGTGATGCTCCTTTCCCTGTTCTAATGTTATGATGCCCTATCTCGTCTACTATTAGGACCTCTAGCTCACAACTAAGCTGGGAGTGCTGATTCACACCCACAACTTCAGCACTGAGGAGGCCTAGGCAGGAAGAATGCCATAAGTCTGAGGCCAACCAGCACTAATGGAAAGACTGTCTCAAAAAGCACAAGCAATAAATAACAAGCATGCGTGCATCTATCTACCCACAACCACACATGTATGCTTAATAAATAAAATGTAATAATAAAAATGACAGTACTGAAGAAATAAGTGTGTGTGTGTGTCAACAGTTCTTACTGAGATATCGGATGTAACAAACAGTTGTCTTAACAAGTGTTTCTTTTAACTAATTTTACTTTTATTTTTCATTATGTGTAATGTGTGTAGTTTGTACACATGGGTGCAGTACCTTTGGAGGCCAGAAGAGGAGGTCACAACCTCTGAAACTGAAATTACAGATAGATAAGAAGCACCACGTGAGTGGTAGGCACCAAACACAGATCTGCAAAAGTAGTACCCCTGAACCAGCTCTCTGTACCCCAGCTTAACAGTTCAATGAGACTGCTATTAACTCTCTAAACTCCACAAAAACGGAATGGACCAGCAACTTATTTTTGTTTTTCTTCTAGCAACACTTCTACGCCATTCCAATTTATTCATGGGAAGAAGCCTAACATAGTCATTATGACATGACTTGATTATGGGGGACAGGAAACTCAGCTTTTTGTGAACAGAAGAAAATCTTGATATGGGCTAATTGATTATTTATATGAATTATGTAAAATACTATCAATGTTTAAACCCAAAACTGAGTCCTCCCTCTGGATTACAGTCTATAACAAGCCAATAGCAGTTAAGCAACAAAACCAGCTCACAGTCTGGATTATAAGAAGAGTGGAGAGACAGTTTGCACATGATTTTGGACCTATGTGCTCGGAGTCAGAAGCATACGGACACAGAAAAAAAGGCCTGAGGGGGAGGTGCTAATAAAGTGGAGCTCGTGGCTTTTCTGAGAATGGACAGACGCTCTGGGAACCGGGCACTAACTCTTCTCTCGTTTTATAATTCTTGCCATCTAGCTACTCTCACAGAGTTGAAGTAACACTGAGCATGCAGACAGGAACATAATGCACTACAAGTTGTCTGGTGCTCATTCTGGCAGTCATATGAGGGCCAACTAGTTTGGGCCAGCCCACCTTGGCCTACAGACACCCAATATGCAAACATAAGAGTAGGTAGTAGAAGTGCAGCTAAGCAGGCAGTATCTAAGTGGGCAGATATGTTGGAGCAGTAACTGCTTGCTCAGGAAGACCAATGAGGGTCTAGGACTAGCCTTAGCTACATAATGAGTTCCAGAACAGTGTGGGTTTACATGATGAGTTCTAGGTCAATCATATAGAAGGGACTGATCTTAAAAAACAAAGAAGGGGAAAGGGCTCAGGACCCTCTCCCAAAACCAATGGACAGATAATGGCTTCTGGGAAAGGAAGACATTTTCTTCAGTTGTGTAGCCACTGGTAAGTTGTCCACACACCTGTAAACAACCCGGTATAAGCCATGCTCTTGTAACAGCAATTAAGCCCACCAGGTTCCCAAAGGGACATCAAAGTCAGAGGATGAGTTGCCAAGAAGGGGAATCAGGAGTCAGAAGGAAACCAGGGGAGGGAGAGATAATGGGGGTGAATATGATCAAATATATGCATACGAAAAAGTCACAATGAAACCCACTGTTGTATATAATTAATAAACAGCAATGGAAATGTTTTAAGTTGGGGCAGGTCGTACAACTTAGCAGCTAAGAATACTGAATGCTCTTCCAGAGGATCTAAGTTTCAATTCCCAGTACCTACATAGCACTTTTGGACTGTTCATTCCAGAGAATCTAATGCCCTCTTCTGGCTTCCTAAGGTACTGCACACACGTGGTACACAAATACACATGTAGGCAAAACAGCCAACACTTATAAAACTTTAAAATGGTGTGTAGGGGTACCTATGTGTAACAGTAATCCTTAAGGCTGAAGCAAGAGGATCAGGCACTCAAGACTAGCTTAAAGCCAGGTTGGGCTATAAAAATACTGTTTCAAAAAATAAAACAACAATTTCAGCTGGGCGGTGGTGATGGAGACAGAGGAAGGCAGATCTCTGTGAATTTGGGTCAGCCTAGACTAGAGTGAGTTTCAGGACAGCCAAAGCTGCACAGAGAAACCCTGTCTTGACAAACCAACAAAAGAAATAGACAATTTCGGCTAGGTCATACAGCGATAACAAAAAGTCAAAATGGGATGAAATATACCTGTTTCAGTAACTATCTGGCTTGTACTAGAAAGGAAGGAAAGTAGAAAGGAAGGAAGGAAGGAAGGAAGGAAGGAAGGAAAGCAGGCGGGCAGGCGCGTGCCTGTAAGCATGAATATTTACCATACTACATACCTTGCTTCTCTCTTACTGCAGAAGATCTAGGAGAATGCTCCATTCCTTTCAGTACACACCCAACCAAATATGAGAAAGAAGACCACAAAGCCATCACTCAGCTGTGTGGAACGTACCTACAAAACCTAAGAAAAACACCGTTCAACAATGTACTATGAGGGCAAAATAATAGAGGAAGATGAGCCATCAGGTTTATATGCCCAGTTTTAGAAATCTAGGCACAGTAAAATGTTATTATTAGGTGTCTCCTGGTATGGCACTGGGTTATGAAGGTTCTTAAAGGCAGAATGAGTTCAGGCTTGATGTGATGGCAGAAGGGAAGCAAGCAGGCTCCACAGCAGGGAACATGGGGCAAAGACACTGTGTGTGTGTGTGTGTGTGTGTGTGTGTGTGTGTGTGTGTAATTGCTATGCCACATATGCATGGAGGTAGGAGCACAAACTGTGGGAGTTGGTTCTCTTCTTCCACCATGTGGGTCACAAGGCTGAAACTCAGATCAGGTTGTTAGGTGTGGCAGCAAGCACCCGCATTTGCTGTGCCATCTCACTGGCTCAGATAAGGTATTTAAATTTAAAAAAATATTTTATTATTTTTACGTGTATTAGCGTTTTGGCTGGATGTATGTTATCCATGTGCAAGCAGCACTTAGAGAGGACTGTAGGCATAAGAAGGCATAAGAGCCCTGCTGGAACTGGAGCTAAAGATGGCTGTAAACTGCCTTTTGAGTGCTGGAAATTGAATGTAGGTCCTTGGGAAGAGCAGCCAGTGCTCTTAACCAAACCGTCCTTCCAGCCCATGGGAAAGGTATTTCAACAGATAATCTAACACAAGTCAACAACTGGTTCAAAGTGGGGTGAGACTAGGGAAAGGCAGCCTTACAGCTGAGTCATGGGTCTTCTGAAAAAAACAGAGGTAATGAGAGGGACATGATGCAGGAACAATGTGGAGGTAGAACATGCCCTGAATATCTCAGAAAACGGGGCAAGGCTTAGTCAAATGTTTGCAGACAAACTCCACAAAGTTGTCCTCTGACTTTCACAGGTATACTGTAGTGTGCATATACCCCCCCCCACACACACACTAATACTAACAGGAAAAAATAAAAGTGAGTGTGATCAAGGAAAGACATGCCCACACCGAGCTTCTACACACACACACACACACACACACACACACACACACACAAAACACCTGCAAGCATACACACCCAACACAAACAGCACTATGCACAAAATGCTAACTGCTGCATGAGTCCACTGACATGAAACACCTAGGATAATCTAGAAACAGAAAGCAGCAGGCATTGCCAGACATTAAGGGCAGGAGAAACGGAGTGACAGAATAATATAGAATTTTCTTTTAGAATAATCAAAATTTGGAGACTTTAAAAGAAGAAAATAGCTGGGTTTGGTGGCGTGGTGCACACCTTTAATCCCAGCACTTGGGAGGCAGAGGCAGGTAGATTTCTAAGTTCGAAGCCAGCCTACTCTACAAGAGCTAGTTCTAGGACAGGCTCCAAAGCTACAGAGAAACTCTGTCTCAACAAAACAAAACAAAACAGAAAGAAAAAAAAAATAATTAGGACAGAGTCCTGTTCTGGGGCACAGGGTGGCCTTGCCTGAGTGCTGGGATGATGGTGTGTTGTGTACCCCTACTGCCCAGCACACTCAAATTTACACTGCCTACTAGAGTTAATATAGCATGCTGCTGGTACCACTCCTAATCTCCTTTAGGTTGGCTTGACTGATACTCTGACCTTCCTTTCCATGTGGAAAGCCAGACCAGACTGCAAAGGACTCTCACCAACCTCAACCTTCCCAACCTGGCAAATGAGGTCCATAGCATCCACTTTGACAGCGAGGGCAAGATGCCAATAAAGAAACACCTACAGCCATGGTCAGTAAAATGAAAACCTGCCATGTGATCACTTTGTCCAACTAATGTCTGCTCGTGTGTATAGTAAAATCACTGATACCCTAGAGAAAAGGGCCCGCTACAGGCTCAGCACCACTACTTACTAGATGTCTCACTCTAAAAACTCTATTTTCAGACATACCTGACTTCAGAGGTAAGAAGCAGGTTCAATGACAATTTAAACTTAAGTGTTTTACAACCAAGTGGGCATCAAAAAGTTAAATCCCAGCACTCAGGAGGGAGAGGCATGCAGATCTCTGTGGGTTCGAGGCCAGCCTGGTCTATAAAAAGAGTTCCAGGACAGGCTCCAAAGCTACACAGAAAAACCCTGTCCTGAGAAACCAAAAAGTTGAAAGGCTACTTTTTTGTTTGTTTGTGTTCTGGACAAGGATTTACTCTGAAGCACGATTAATAAAAACTCAGAGAGAGATGGAAGTGGCAAGCACAGCTTCTGTAAAATTCTCATCATGAAATGGCCATGTGAACTGATCTGGGCTCCAGCAAGTTCAGAGCCAGTTGGGCAGTGGCTTGTAGACAGCCTGACTTGGGAGAGCAGTTTGTAGGCAGTTAGTGGTTTCACCTAATCAGCATCTGCTAGGGGACTGATGTGAGGCTTGCCAAAAGACTTGTGCATGCTTGATGTGTGTGTGTGTGTGTGTAGGTCAGTTGGTTCTGTCCTTCCACCTTCATATGGGTTCCCAGGATTGAACTCCGGTAGTTAGGGATGCTCAGCAAGGACTTTACCTGCCAAGCCCTCTTGTTGGCCCAAATGAGGTTTTTAAGAAGAATTTTATTTTCTACTTCTTTTGAGGCAGGGCTTTCTGTATCCCAGGCTAGCCCTGACTTCACAGCAGTCCCTCTGCCTCAGCTTCCCTAGTGCCACCACATCTGGTCTGTCATTGTTATTATTTATGATCCCTCGTTATCATGTTTTAAACTGATATTTGTTTTGGAGTGTGAGCTTATTATTTGCATGAGTTAATTATTTTTTTTTCTAAAAACTCCCAATATATATGTAAATCACTTTCCCTAGTCTCTTCATGGCCAGAACTTTTTAAAATAAATATTAGACCTGGGAAAATAAACTCTGAATTCAACACATTATGTAATCTTGTTTTTTTTCTTTTGGGGTTTGTTGTTATTTGTTTTTGTAACCCTATCTTTTTAGCCCAGGTTGGCCTCAAGCTTGCAGTAGTCTTCCTTCCAGGCCTGCCTGCCTAAGGCTGTTTCTTCTGTTACTGGGGGTTGGCCCTAAGACCTCCTGCATGCTAAACAAGCACCGGTTCAATGAGCTACATTCTCAGTTCTTTACAGTGCCTGGTTCACGGAATTGATGGGCTCCCTTTTGCACAGTGAAACAGAAAGAAGCCTGACCGGGCTGGGTGGTAGTGATACACATAACTCCAGGAGAGGCAGGGGAATCTCTGTGAGTTCAAGACCAGCCTGGTCTACAGAGTTAGTTATAGTACAGCCAAAACAATATAAAGAAACCCCACCTCAAAAACAAACAAACAAACAAACAAAAGCCCTAACCCCTCTACATATATTTGTGTGTGGTTTTAGCAAGCTTACTTATATCCTTGCTTAGAATCTAGGAAGCAACCTGTCTGTCTCCTCTCAGCTTCAGTTAATTCTGCTCACCTGTATTTTCCAAGTTTTTTTTTTTTTTTACACTAACTCTTAATCATACTGTTACTGAAAAGAAAAAAAAAGATTTGGTTTTTGAAAAATGGTCTCACTTTGTCATCAATACTGGCTTGGAACTTACCAGGTAGCCCAGGCTTGAATCCAACTCACAGCAAACCTCCTGCTTCAGCAAAGCTTTTAGAGAAGGATTTTCAATGTCAATGGCACTCTGGCAAAAATGGCCAACATTTCTAAACTCTTCCAGTTTTCTTTAAGAATGTGGCAAGCACCACAGTGACACAGTACTTCTCTGTGTGACCAGGGAAAGTGGCATGATGACAGGAAGTGGGCAGACTAAGCCTATTTTCTAGAAAAAGACTAAAAGTGCCAGAAGACTGTGCCGAGGAGGCGTGAGTGTTCTGAGCCTGTGGGCAGAGCTAAAGCAGAGACCTGGCTAGGAAGGGAGCTGAGAGGAGAGGCAGATCTACTTCTCTGCGGGCTTTGTTATGAGGATGATAAAAGAAACCAATAAAATCATGAGGTTCTATTCATTTGGACAACAACAACACACAGGTGGGCCTGGAAACTACCTCTGCATGGGGGCAGCAGATGATGTTGTTGCCGGAAGTGTTTGGAGGGTTTGCTGCTGCTTTTGCTCTCAGGATTAAGGGCTCCTATGCATAGCTGAATAGGAATTCTATCCTTAAGCTCCTAAAAGTTTTATGTGCAAATGAGTCCCCAAGGGATGGAATCAAAAGGCAGAATTTAGGCTAAGAATGTAGCAGCTAAGAAGGTAGAGTGCTGGCCTTGCACAATGAATGAAGCCTTGGGTTTGAGCTTTAGAATTGTATGAATCAGGTGTGGTAGCTCACACCTGTAAACCAGCACTCAGGAGACTGAGGCAGAAGAACTGTTGTGAGTCTGAGGGCAGCCTGGGCTTTATGAGTTCCTGGCAGTCCTAGAATAAGAGTGAACCCCTTTCCAAAATCGACAGCCGACTTTGATTTAGCAGGTCTAAGGTGGAGGCCCAGGTGCTGGTTCTGACCTGCAACACAACTGATTCCACAGTATCAACACTCCATCCTGGTGTTCTGACCTATCAACCAAGGCCAGTGACAGAGCTGGGCAGAGATGAACAGACAACAGGTGGGAAGTAGGACTAGCCAGTTCATGCACCCAACTTCTACATGTTTAAATTCCCAGTGGGCAGAAGCTGCTGATTCTCGTGGATAACAGGGGAAGACAGTGAAGGTTTGTGGAGGTTGTCTGGGACAAAGGGCTGAGGTGCCTATTTAACATATCAACTGGACTTGGCCATTAGGTTCTCCCAGCTTCCGTCAGTCCCTACCTGTTACAGGGTATAGCTTGCACACCCTGAACTCTCCAGCCCAGAGGCTGGTCTGCCCTTCCCCCAGAGGCTCTTCCCTACATGATCCAGGCATTTTGGACCTTTGTCCTCCTGGTTGCAGCACCTGGTTTCCCTCTCTCCTGTCTCCTTCCCTGTCTCTCATAGCTCAGTCTGGTCATGCCCACTCTGGACTTTATTTTAGATATCCCTGCCTCTGACTACGCTCTCCCACATATA